GAGAAATTTAGTCGTTTTGCCTTAGAGCTGGACTTTTCAGACCGACGAAGCGAGTGACGGTGATCGATTTATGTCAGTATTATTAATTTTAACCTGCAGGGTCTGATTCCGGTAATAATTTTGTATTTATGGTGCCGATATATCCGAGCATAAATCCTTTATTTTTATTTAAATCGTCGTTCTTCTTCTTTTCTTCTATACTGTGCAAGGATGGGTTCAAACTAATTTTAGTAGTTCCGTGAATTTTGACAGCCACTTTTCAAGTTGTCGTTGGATTTTGTTGATGTAACTTTTCGAAATTTCGGTTCCAGAAACATTTGAGTGTTGGCCATGTTTAGTGACTGTTGATTTCCCCTCGGTCTGCCCGGTAAACTTTCTCATGTCGATTATCAAGTAAAGTTGCATTCTCTTCAATACGAACTATAGTTGAGTTCGTATTAGCTTTAGAACCACGCAGCTACAATCTTCAGCCTAGTTAGCCGCCCGTTTTGTGTGTTACTTGCCAATGTTGTTTCAGGTCGCCACGACTACTACTCCGCCATCCCTCTGCAATAACACTTTTGCTAAGTGAGTGTTATCCACTTATTGAATTTGAAATGCTGCCCCAAGGCAATCATTCACAAGTGCAGTGAACCAATGCATTGGACCACTTGGTACATTTTATCACCACGGGGATGTAGCGCTCCAGGTTAGGCCAAGGCACAGCCAAAATGAAAGCGACAGGAATTGCAAATTCGGAAATTTGTTGCTCGAACTCCCGCAAAGAAAACTTTACTGATGAAGACATCCCGGAACATAAAGAAAAAAAATAAAAGTCCTTTTCGGGACCTCTGTATATTTCTTCATTAAAAGAATTCGTTTTACATTTACCCACTACGCAGTACATATTGGTAGAAAATATAGACCTTTTTGGGCGGTTGTCCTTGCGCTTCAGACAGTTTTTATTTTCTCTACCAGAAAACTCGGGTAAGATTACAAATGACCCGTAGAAGGAAAAGTGGTAAAAGGTTTGGGAAAAGGCGGTGCCAAACAACATTGCAAAGTGTTGAGGGATAACATTCAGGGTATAACCAAGGGGGGCCGTTAGAAGATTAACCCGTCACGGAGGCGTGAAATGAATTTCTGGATTAATTTACGAAAAACAGTAACTGAAAGTGAAATAATAAAACGGTTCTTTTCAGAATCACAAAAACACGTTACAAAGATAATTCGTTTATCGAGGATTATTCGCAACAAACAATTATTTTCGTCACATTAAGGCAAAGTTAGAATGTGCTTTTGGTTTTTATTTTCTTTAGTGTTATAGTGATTATTAAAATGAAAATGAAAGAATCAAGTCAATTTTGCCTAACAAAACCCCATGAAAATGGTAAACGTGCTTTAATAAAAACGAACTGTTGGCGGTTCCACGTAAAACAAATTTTGTAAAAAATATATCCGTTTAAATAAAACGGTGTCTCAACTAGAAAAGTTCTCATCGCGGCCATTTTTAATTAGCTTTGTTGTCAGTTTTCTTGGGCGGATCGCCAGTTGTAAATGGCGAGTAATGATTTTTGGTTTTCTTATCGTCTGTCGCCGCACGGTCGATTAATTCCAAAACTTTGGCAGCCAAATATACCGAAGATCCGGCGCCGACCTCGGCAGAGTTTCCTTTCCGAAATAATCGGTGAATTGTACCGACTGGGAACTGTCCTGCTTGAACGAAACTTTGTCTTCTCCCTAATTTTTCATCCTTTTCCGCTTCCCGACATCGTTATCACTGATCATTAACAAAATAGACAATAGGGGTTTTTGAGTAAAAACATCAATAACATACTGCCTCGCTTTTTCACATTCGGTTGTCCAAACAAAACGGACATTATTACGAGTCAAGTCAGCGGTGACTACTACTTTGACAAGCTACTTTGGAAGAAAAAGCGTTGATAAATTTGCGGATTCCGGCTTTAGACGAAGCATTAAGAACTAATTTTAGTTTACAAAATCTATCCTCAGGTGTGATGGAGGATATTACTGTCATCAATGTGAACAACCGCGGTGTCATATTCTTAGTTTAAAATTTACAAAAGTGCCCCAATTGGCCACAAGAATAACAATTTGCCTGCGTCATTTTTTTCTTGATAATACATTATTTTTCTAATGGACGCTGTTCTTGTCTAAAATTTTAATGCAATTTCAATTTTTTCACACTTTTCATCCTTATAACTACTTAGGTATCTTTTATATTTTGATTCTTGGGTATGCTAGGTAGCTGGTTAATTTTTTGCATAATCCAAAGTGTTTTAATTGACAACCATATCCTCAAAATACTCGTAGCTGGAGTATTGGATAAAGATATTGATAAATCATATTGCTTATTGAATAAATTTAAAAATCATCGATAATTTTAGCTGTGAGAACGTTTGGGCACACGTTTTTATTAACCTTTCATGATTTAATTTTAAAATTTAAACAAACATATTTATGATTAATTAAATTGCAACTGAATCTTTTAAGCTGAGTCACTGTAAATATTATCAGATGTATTTAAAAAATATTTTAATGTAAACAAATCGATGAAAATACAGGAAGAAGGAGAGTTATGCGTTTTACATCTACAAAGTATTGACAAAAGCTGTCACCAAGTACACCAGTTCTAAATAAATTAGAGTCCACAATTTTGAAATGTTAAGCAATTCGTTTGAACTTCGCTTTTTCATTTCCTGATTGAATTGAAATTTGATTCAAAGATAGGTTAAAGCGCTTTTCGAAACAAATAACAGGATCACGGTTTACTGTTTATTTCGATTGAACTGAGGTGGCTTTTACTTCATGAAAATTCATTTATCAAAATAAATAAGAACTAAAAGTTCAGATTTTCATTCATTTTATTTCAATTGATATACAAATCCGGAACCTTTCTTTCGAGAAATCTCGTGTTGCTTTCAATCTAGTGAAGAGTGATCGAGAGAATGTCCGAAAATTACCGTCGATCGATGTTCGTGGCGAGTCACATCGATTCGACGTCGGGAACGGTTCCTTTCCGCACTAGCACGCTCTCACCACCAAGTCTGTTTCTATTTAAAAATATTTCACGCGTTTCGCGCGCGATATTATTTTTTAAAAAGAGACTTGTCGTATAGCGCCCGATCAACGTCATTCGTGGCGGCGGCGGCGCACGCGATATTAAGAACAGCTCCCTGGTCGACCCTGCCAGTGTCGTATGCTTGTCTCAAAGAATAAGCTATACATGTTTCATTACAAGTCGAATTAAGGTGAAACCGCGAAAGGCTCATTAAATCAGTTATAATTCCTTAGATCGTACTCGCAATTACTTGGATAACTGTGGTCATTCCAGAGCTACATGCGGCAGATGTCCGACCGCTTTTATTAGATCACAACTAATCGGTGACGAGTTCGCGCCCGTCGTTCAATTCAATTCAATTCAATTGTTTGAATAACTTGAAACACCGGCGACGCATCGTTCAAATGTCTGCCTTATTAACTGTCGATGGTAGGTTCCGAGCTTACTATGGTCGTAACGGGTAATGGGGAATCAGGGTTCGATTCCGGAGAGGGAGCCTGAGAAATGGATACCATATCCAAGGAAGGCAGCAGGCGCGCAAATTACCCACTCCGGGCACAGGGGGGTAGTGACGAAAAATATCGATACGGCAACCCTTTAAAAGGTATCAATGGGAGGGCAAGTCTGGTATCAGCAGCCAGGGTAATTCCAACTCCAATAGCGTATATTAAAGTTGATGCGGTTAAAAAGTTCGTAGTCGAAAACGCCGCCGGTTCACCGTTCGTGTCAATTGGCGCGTCGCGAGACTTGCTGCCGGTGGATTTGGCTCGGTCCGATTCAATAGTAAATGTAACAAGGTTACCATAGTTGAACTTGCGGAAGGATCTTTGTAGTGTTAAAAAATGAACACTTGTACTCTGTAGAACATATTTGTCGCCATCGCTTGTCGATAATTTCTCGCAAATAAAAGTTTGTTAGGATAGACCGGCCCTAAAAAATAAAAGTTTGACGTCGAAGACCACTCTGCTCTTCCGTAGAAATACAAGTTGAGAATAAGGCGCAGGTCGTCCGTGCATGAAACCTCGTTCGATAGATAGAAAAAGGAGACCGGAAAAGCCTCGAGTGCCCGGAGGTTCACATTATTTGCTGCTTTTCGACTTAGCTCGAACTGTACTATTCGGCCCACAACGAGCCTTTAGTTCGGATCGGACATCTAAAATACATTGAGGGTGCCAAAGGAGGTCATAAAGACAAGTAAGGTTTTAAGGATAATGGCAAAAAATGGTCGAACGTAAAAGTTTTCTTTTACGTTTCACTCTTCCTGCCTTTCCCCGCCTGCCAAATTTCAACCTCCTACGACAACTTTCCCTTACTAGTTAGAGAAAAGATTATTGGACAAAAATTAGAGAAAAGATTATTGGACAAAAAATGATCGTCTCGACGCGATCTACCGGCTTGCTAAATTTCGACCTTCTACGACGTTAACATTTTCCGAAACTTTGCTCTCTGACGCAGCGGGGCGGCACTAGAGGGCACGAAATTCAAAGTGGTCGTAGGGGGTTGAAATTTGGTGAGCGGTAAGAGCTCGACGAGGCGATCATTTTTTTTGTCTATGATGATGATGACGACGACTACGATGCCGATGATGGCGACAACAACAAAAATGATGACGACGTTAACGACAACGATCGCGACGGCGCCGTTTTCGAAGATGACGATAACGATAATGCTGATAACGATGACGACGACCACGATGAAAACGAAGGCGAAGTTGACGTCGACATTGACAACGACTATGATGACATTGATGGTGACGACGACGACTTCGACCATGACATTGGAAAATCAAAGTGTTCGTAGGGACTACCGGTGGTTGATATTTAAGCGAGTTCAACCTTTCTCTTCGCGAGCCTGTGACGCTTTCAATTTTCAAACTTATGACCCATACCCGAATATTTCTAGACGAGCGATTATGTCAAATAAATATTTTTCAACGGTTTTCCATCTTTTTTTATTATTTTTTCATCTCACACCCGTACATCGCTTCTTACGTACGTATTTATGATACAGTATAGTATGTCGTGGAAGTTATGAGGAAATATCACTAGCTTAGTACTAACTATTTCGAAACATGACAACGAGACAGCTCGTTTTTTAAATTCAAAAGTTTAAAGAAATTACTTTCGTTCACGTTTTATATAGGTTATCATTACCGTGTGGAATTATCCGAATTTAAGTTGCAATAATAATAATATATTCAACAAATATAACATTTATTATTGTTTTAACCTCTAACATTTGTATTACTTCCCTATGCCGAGTGTTTCGTGTATATTTTTAGTTAATTATCAGGTAATTCCAAAAAGCTTTCTTTTTGTATATTTAATGAGATATGTATGGTAATATAATTAAGGTGAGATTTGACGGTGATTAGCGCCGTTGACGTGTCGCTCGACGAACCCACGAAATTTCACTCTTTTTTGTTTCTGTGCAATATTTGGCTTAAAGTAAGAATAAAAGTAAACTTAACATAATGCGTAAGATATTAAAGTTCAAGTTTGTCTCAAATCTAATAAAATCGAAAGTGCTATTCAATTGTTTTATATCTCAAAATGTACACTTTCAATTAATTTAAAACTTGTCAAATTTAAAGTTCAAAAAGCAGGCGATTTCAATTAACATGTGGCTAGCAAAAAATACATTTGTGAAATTTCCTGAGTCATGACGGATTAAAATTACAGCGTTGCAGTCGTAGGAAGATGGCAAATGTGAAAGTTGTGATTTATCTGCGGTCCTTTTTTACAGTCAGTTCGTTATTTTTTTATTGTTACGTTAAATTACATTTACAAAAATCATGCGTAAATTACGGCGGCTGTACAAAATATTTGTATTTCTTAGATTTTTTAAATATCTTTACTGTGAGTGGCGGTTCCTACGCGTTTTTTTTTTGTTTATTTTACCACGCTTCGATATGAGGTTCTAACAAATCTCACGTGTTTCTCACACAAATAAATTCGGGATAATTTAAAGAACGAAAGTTCCATTGCAAATCCCGTTGAAGTTATTCATTTTATTCTTCACGTTATCCCGCGATACTTAAATTTATTTACAACGCCGCACTCTTGCATATTGGGTTTCGCTACCGTACTACTTTTTTAATACTATGTTCAGCTTACACGTTACATTGTATATTGTGCTTATTTTAATTGTTTTATCTTAGCTATTTTACTTATTTTTTAAACATTGATGAACGGCGGCCGAAGACTGCATGTTATCACCACAAACTGAAACAAATGACACTTTACATTTGCCATAATTTGCATAATGACTCAGGTCAGAATTTCCGATAAACAATTCATCCAAATATGATGATCCCTTATGCAAATGTCGTTGGTTTCGGCGTATTTTTTACCATAGTTTTACATATTATTTAGATAAATCAAATTATATTTCTTTATCCATAAAGTTTCGGTTCAAATACGATGGAAATTTCAAAGAGTTATCAACTTTTAATAGAAAGGGCGTCTATTTTTTTAATTAGTACTTAACAGATGAAAAAGCTACGGCGAGCAATGAAAAAATCATTATTTAACATTAACATTTCGGTAATAGTAATGAAAAAAATTGCAAATCAAATAATGTGATTTATTTTTGTGTCTAATAACTCCAATCCAGAGATTGGGCATTCTTTCTGAATAACCCTGTAAATATTGACTTGCTTCATAGAGATTCTCACTCCAGTTTAAAATTGTGACAGTTAAGTGACATATTCGGATTAGGTTTTCGAAAATTTCGACTTAGATGAAAAATTTTGACTTATTTCTTAGAAATTTTCATTTTGGCCAGAAAATCTGATTTGTTTTTTCAAAGTTCTGACTTATTTTTCAGAAATTCCGATATGGCCTCTCACTTTAACTTAATTTCAAAAAATCTAACTTATTTTTAAAAAAAATTCACTCAAGTTTGGTTTGCTTTTCATAAATTTTTGGGTAAAAAATTTTGCGTAATTAAACTACAATCTATATTTTTGACGGCCTTTTGGTGCTCTCGTTATTTTCTGTATCGTGGCACGTGTAACGTTTAAAAAAATCAAAAATTTGACACAGACACAAAAGTGGAGTGCACGTGACGTCAATAATAAAGTGTTTCTAATAATGTTATTTGTAATTTGGGTCAATATGCAATTTTAAGGCGGAATCAATGCAAAACCCATGACGGAGCAAGTTTATCTTGGAAAGTTATAATTTTGTGGCTCCGTAAATTGTTTCAGTTTGGCGCGATTTCGTGAATTTCGCGACCCAAAAAATACAAAAATATCGAATAGAAGCAGAAATAAGTTTCATCTGGGAGAAGAGGGTTTAATTTGGACGCAATCGAACGCGGATCGACACTTAATTACCTGATAATGATTTAAAAATAAATTCTGTGTTGCGTGACGCGTTAAATTTATTTTTAAGTCTTCATACCGATTTTTTAAAATTCTATTTCAATGGTTTCGGAATCGAAGCACATTTCAACCGGTTCCTTATTAAGTATGGGGACCATCGTCCGATTGCGACGGGACGCGAGCCATCTGGCAGTGTTTCTCGGCCTCACACAGTGATATGACGATGAATTACATTTTTTTTACATTTTGTTCAATGAAAAGGCATTTCGAAAACCTATACATATTAAAAATATTTACGTGATATTGGGTACACATATTCTCACACTAAGAACAAATAACTTTCTCGCCGAGATTTAGCTTTATACAACGCATACGGGGCGGGTCGAAAGTCGGGCGGGAGTTATTAAATTTATGAAACAATTCTCTTATATAAATAGAATTGCTTTTAAAATTCTATTTCAATATTTTTCAATCGATAAACCGGCATTTTTTTATAGTTTTAACGAATTTTAACGAATTGCTAGCATTAAATAACAATAGACACTATTTAAAAACAAAGAAAAAAGGTATTTATTTTAAACATGTTAAAATATGAGTTTGCTAGTTTAAATACCTATTTTCTTTATTTTGAAATAATTTAATTTTCGTTAAATCGTTAATTATTTTGAAAATGTGAAAAATACTTGGAAATTTAAAAGCAATTCTATTTAAAATAAGACAGTTTCGTGGTCCGGCCGAATCAGAAATCTTCGGCACATTTGACTTTTGACTCGCCCTGTATACAAGTCCGCGCGGTACAACGCTTCGAACGCTGCGATTGTGTTCCGTTAAAATGTTGTACTTCGACGGACGCGATTACGTTTCTACGTTTTTGGACAAGTTTTTGAAAATTTCACCCGGGCCGCTAAAATTGTCCCCCTACGAAGGGCGAATTCAAATTTAATTGGCCCGGTAGAAAACCGAAGGGATTCAGATGCAATACGGGTCGATTCAGTAATAAAAAAATCCCGCAAATGTTTCGCTGCCGCGATGTTGTTACGACTTTGTAATAATGACCGAGGCTGTGAAGCTTTTTTAGCTATCACACTGTTTGGGGTGCAAATGTTAGCCTTTTCGAACTATGGATTTTTACTAAACGTTGTTTTAAACATTCCTTTCAGTTTGGGAACTTTTTGGTTAGGTTTAGTTAAAGTTAGTGAACTTTTTCGAGATTCGAATGTTCTTAGCATTTCGAAATAAATGAGAAAAATTATATAAAAAAAAAAACGAAAAAATTAACTTCTTGGTCTTTTAACCGAACCGATTTGGAAATAAATTAAAAAAATATTTTTGAAAAACGAACAAACTTTTTGATTTCTTCAATACTTTTCGCGAAAATTAATTTTAAAAATGAAAAAATAAAGAAAAATTTAAAAATTGACAGAATTGCATTTTTTTTTCAATATTTTTCCTGAACCGATTTCGCAATAAATAAAAAAAATATATTAAGGAAAACGAAAAAACTGAAAAAATTTGAGACTTCACACTCTTATTTGATTAGTTTAGGTTACTTTTCTGAACTTTTTGGTCTTTGAAAAAAATAGGTCTTTTGATTAATGTTTGGGAGCCAAAAATATTTCCAAATAAATAAGAAAAATTAAAATTATTTAAATCAACCAAAATACCGCAAAAATTTGAAACTTTAACACTCTTTTTGGGTCAGTTCTGAGAATTTTTTGGTTTCTTAAATATTTCAAAAATTTGAAAAAAAATAAAATTTTGACACACTATTTTTCGGTCAGCTTTGGGAACCTTTTGGTATTTTCAATATTTTTCACGAATCGAACCGATTCCGAAATAAATGAAAAAATTGATTTAGAAAATCGAAAAAATCGCAAAAATTATAAACTTGACACTTATTTTCGGTTAGTTTTGAGAATTATTTGATATTTTCCTGAACCTAATCGATTTCGAGATAAATGGAAAAAATATTTTGAAAAACGCAAAAATTTGAAACTTGACACTGATTTTCGGTTGGTTTTGATAACTTTTTGCTTTTTTCAATGTTTAATAAAATTTGAAACTTGAACACTCATGCCCGGTTAGTTTTGGGAACTTTTTCGACATGGAAGAAACTCTCATTTGGAGCTGAGAAACGCGCTTCCATGTCTACGCTGCGCATTAATGAATCACCCCGTATATATTTAGAACGCGAGAATATTTCGTGCAACTTATATGTCTCGCAAATTTCTTAAAGTTAATTAATTAATTAATTATTAATTACCGAATTTTGCTGGACAATTAAAAAAAAAAGAAGGAAATAATGCCCCGTTCGGTATTATTGTCGCACCTATAACGTCGAACTATTTATAACGGCAAATATTAACACATTCACGTTAATAGATAAATATTTGTGTCTTTGTGTAGCTTAAACTTATAAATTATTCAACAGGCAGTGAGTGAGAAAATTATGGCCACCCCGGAGGGGGGGACGGGCCAAAACGTCCCCTAAATACTCGTTTATTGCTGAGATCGCCGCCGACGAAATGCGAGGAGTTCCTTTCAAGACACTTTTTTTCCTATTTCGTCGTTGATTAGAGATACGGAAAGCTCGTCGTCGTCGTCCTCCCAGGTGTCTTCCATCAAAGATATACTCGACTCGACCTACAATCAAAACTATGATTGTTTGACAATAATCAATTGATTTTTTTTTGGGTAAGTTGATTAAATAAGATTTTTTTTTACATTAGTAAGGCTAAAACCTTCATGTAAGTATAAATGTGACTATTTAAATATGGTGAAAGTTCTTGAAAGCGGACACTCGCGGATCTTATATTTCTGTTCGTTTACGAGAAAGTAACTTACGAAAGTATTAAAAAAAAAAACAATTAAACTTTATGTTTGCTTTGACTTTAATAAAAAATGCATAGGTGCTTTTGAAGTAAAGGAAAATTATTTTGAAAAACAATAAAATTAAAAAAAAACTCCGTTAGTTTTGGTATTTTTTTGCATATATTTCCGGCAAATCGAACGGACTTTTAAATAAACGAAAAAACAAAAAGAATGCTTTTCGGTGAGATTTGGGAAATTTTTTGGTTATTCAATATTTTTAAGAACACGAACCGATTTCGAAATAAATGCCTTAGTTTTAAAAACATATATAAGAGCTAAAAGTTCAGATTTTCACGAAATTATATATTTTCACGTGACATATAGCCAAGAAACCAATTTCAGCTTCTTTCAAAAATTGAACTGAGGCGGCTTTTACTTGATGAAAATCCATTTATCAAAATAAATAAGAACTAAAAGTTCAGATTTTCACGAACTTATATATTTTGAGATGACAATTGTTTCGACAACACCGTGTCTCTATCAAATGTCAAATGTGCCCTTAGTTTTATTTAGAAGAAATGAAAAAAAAATCGCTTTCGGTTAGTTTTAGAATTGCAAAACAAAATAAAGTTGAAACTTTGATACTTTTTCGTGTTAGTTTTGGTAACTTTTTGATCTTTTTAATGTTATTCGCAAATCGATATTGAAAATAAATGAAAAAAAAATTTGTAGAAAAAATGAAACTCTCGATTTGATACTCTTTTTCGGTTAGTTTTGGTAACTTTTTGATCTTCTGAAATAAGTGAAAAAAAAATATTTGGAAACAACGAAAAAACTCTATTCGATTAGTGTTTAGAACTTTTTGTTTTTTTTCAATAATTGAAAAATTGGAAAAATTTTTAACGGTGCAACGAACTAACGAAAAGCACTATAAAAAAGACAATAAAAGGTTTTTACCTCGTCTTTAAGTCGTTCCACAAGTCGACGTCTGTCTAACCTAAGACGGTCCGCTTCTTCGGCCTGACTCGCGTTCCTTATACCCGTAATTTCCAAAAGAGCCAGATGAGCGTCTTTCTCGCTGATCGTCGCCTCGAGGGCTTCCCTCCTATATCAAAAAATATATAGAAAAAAACGATGGCACGTGCCGATATCTCTCGGGCGTTGGTCTCGGTGCGCTATATTGTCCGTAGATATTAAAACCTTCGCTATTTAAAAAACGGTTACAAATATTTTTGTTAACCAACACATTTTATAGTCTAGACTCTAGACTATGATTTTTTTTGGAATGTTGTTTTATATAATAATAATAATAATAACTTATTTGATGTAAGTGTTATATCGATAAAAAAATTTACACGCAAAAAGGAGGCCGAAATTTAATTTAGAAAAGATTCTAGTTCAGCACCAAAGGTATATAATGCTTATTAATGTTGATAATGCCAATTGCACTAAAGTTCTAAATCCTCCGCAAAAAACGCACTGTATGAAAAGGAGGAAAAAAGTCCAATTTGTGCACATATGTACGATATCGAATTTTATATGTTAGATACGATGACCGATCTGTATTAATAATTTGATGAAACAACACAGCTACGTGTAAAGTTCTGCGTCTTCATAGATAGCCATTTTGTTTCTTTTAATTTATAAGGAACAGGTTCTCGAATGTCATAAACGAATCGAAGGCATGTTTTCTGGACGCGCTGTATTCTGTGGCTGTCTATACTAAGTAGGCAGGAGCATCCGAAAATTAAAATGACTAAAAACAAGTGGATCCGTCAGTCTGATATTATCACTCCTGGACCAAAGACCACATTTTTAAAACTAAGTCACTGCCAATTGCTGTTAGTAATTCATGATTTAGTCGATCAAATGCTTTGCTGAAGTCTAATAAAATCAACGATATGACTTTTCCTTTACCGGTTGCATTAATGACATCGGCAGATATATTTAAGAGAGCTGAACCCTGGCCTGAATCCAAAATGCAATATGTTCCCTCATTTCCAGGTTCATTTGATATGACCCTGTAGCGGCAGACTTTATTTCAAAAATGTACTTCCTTATAGCCTCTTCGGAGATTGTGTGGAATTGAAATTGGGAATTTGTAAAAGTTTAAGAAGTCTGGCTCTATCGAGTTATGCCTGTTGGATTTTAAAAAGTGTTTATTCAAATTTATGGGTTTTTCCAGTATTTTATTTGGCTGTTTTTTGCAAGGTATATTAAGATTTTTAAGTGTATTCCAAAAGAGCACCCAATAGCTATGTATGTTTTAATTTTTAATTTGCTTATGATAATTCCGTTGCACCTATCATGTAAACTATGGAACTTTAATTTAATTTTTTTTAAAAAAGACTGATCAGATAAAAAAATGAGATATTTGAAAGACAATTTAATATGCTTTAATACTAGTTTAAATGGATTAAATTTTTTTTCTGCAATTTAGGTTTAGCTTAGTAAAAAAACTGCACGAGTAAAATTAAGTGTTTTTGATTACTAAAAACAATTAGGGTTTTCGACAATTACCAACTCAACACTTATTTTTTAATAATGGGTATGACCCCCTCTTGTTCTAATAACATCTCTTACTCGATTCTTGTGGAATATTAAGCTACTCTTCTTCTACTGCAACAATAAGCTCTGGGATCGAAGTCTAGCTCGAATTCTCCGATTTAACTCATCCCATAAATGTTCTTCTCTCTTCCACGATCCTTGCGGTGTGCAGACTGTCATGCATAAAAATGAACTCTTCTACCACGTGGTCGACATGTGATTTGGTAAAATATCCTCCATGTACCTATCAATTGATAACCTCCAGCCCTTTGACCACGGCCGCCCCTACGGACGCGTCCATAGGAATTGGGGCTCCCCTTTTCATTGCAGCATTCTGCAAATAGTCCTCCTGGTCCTCGGTACACTTTTTGTCGTCGGTCACTACCAAAAAGGAATATTCTGGTCTCATCTGAGAACTGAACAGACCCCCAATGGTCCAATGTCCTATACAGATGGTCCGTGCCAAGCGAAAGCGTGCTTGTCGATGAGCTGGAGTAAGTTTTGGACCAATTGCAGATTTTTTTGTGGTCAGGTTATTTTGCTTCAGTCTTCTTCTCACTGTCCCCTGACTAATAGCCACTCTTCGAAATTCATGGAGCGTTTCTTATTATTGTTGACACGATAAATGTTCCAGCCTGCCTAGCAAAGGATCCAGTCTCCTCATACCGTTGGCACACTCTTCGAACTGTTGCGCTTGTCATATCCGGTTATAGAGCAACAGCTCGCTGGCGAAGTACACTTTCGATTAAATCGATAACTTGAGCGGCTTTTTGCGGCGTTGTGTGCATCAAGCTATCCGAATGGTTAAAAAACAAAAATGTGAAAATTCCAGTTGCAAAGGCGATTAATTGAAGTCTATAAGGGTGTAATTGTTACTATCACTATAACTACGTTTCATTTGTTTAACCGTAGCTGCGCGCAATAATAATCTATTAAAGCTTATTAAATTGTCTTCCGAATAGCATGTTTATTTTTTGACTCCGATGAATAGTTTCTAGAAAAAAAAACACTAAAGTCAAAAATCTGCGGTTCAATTCAATTTCAATTTCGTAGTTGTCTTTGGGAAAATAAATATCATATTTAATATTAATATCGAAATTTTTGTTTACCTCATCTGCGCGAGTTCCCGGAGATCCCGCCTCCTCCGGCCGATCAAAGCGGAAAGTTTCGTCTCCAACGCGGACATCCGGCCGACGAAAGGGCCGCAGTCGTGACAGCGCGTAGCCTGGGCCGCCCGCAGGGACGACAGTCGCTGCTCCAGCTTGCCGACCTGCGACCGAGACAACTTTTCCGGTTAAAATATCGATGGGCGATCGCGACAAACACGATACTTTTTCGAGGATCCGTTTCCTGTTCGTCTCCTCCTGCCGCAGCACCGTTTCCCTCTCGGCGGAAATCCGGAGGGTCTCGCGGAGCGCCTCTTCCAGCTCCGCGATCCTGCATTCCTTTTCCCCGCGTTCGATTACAATACCCCTTCCCCCGGCCGGCCCCACCACTAATTCTAGATCGTTTTTCGCGTCGCTCTCGGGTCCGTTACGCATCTAACACCAAGCAAACGAAATATAATGTCGAAAACACGCGAAAAAGCGACAAGGCAAAACCAAAAATGAATCGAAAGAAAGGATGACGGAAACGATAGAGTGGGGGGACATTAGAAAAAGCTCTTTAGGAAGCCAGCGGGTCCAGCCTATATATACATACGTACGTACGGTTGTTTTTTTTTTTTTTGGTTAGCAGGAAAATAAGTAAACGTTAGTTCGATATTTTCGAGCGCGGGTTCAGCGTTTTACCTCTTCCTTTTGAGTTTGCGCTTGTTGTTGACTTTTTAATTTGGCCTGTGCATTGCGGAGCGCCCTGCAATTAATAGTCACGTTTACTTTTCGGTAAGGTTCCAATTGACGACATGATTTCACAGATTTTACGGATATTACAAAGATTTCCCAGATTTCCAATTTCCAGCTTTCTATCGTTATTTAAAAAGAAAAAGTCTCAAGTAAAATTAATACGGGCGATTCCGTAATAACAGGTACTTTTTTTACTTAAAATTTTTAAGATTTTAAAACTAGCCTTTTGAATTTTTTTATGCATATTATTCGTCCATTTTTCTGTAAAGATAAAAAATCCTGATGGCATTTAATAGATAAATCGTCGATAATTTATCCAAATTTTCTGCCTGGAATAACGTAGGTACTTTTAGAAAAAATCGGATGACAATTAACACGAGGTGGGCAAAATTTAGGTAGAAAAAGGGTTTTGTCGATAATATTATCAAAACAGAATTTCGGGCGAAAAAATCCAAAATTTTCGAAGTTTATGTATACCGACGAGACGTTGCAACTGTTACGTTTTATATTTTGGTCTTCTCTCTCCATCGGACAGGTCGATTATAGCCTGCACCTTGAACCGCGAGGCACGATTTTGTGAGGTAGTCAAAAAGATTCCTTGAATTTTATCTCTAGTAAAATTTCAACTTGCGTGGAGCGACGTAGAAATTTTGGAAAAATTAAGACCTGTTTTCGAAAAAACTTACCGCATGAAAGGTGACAGTGTACTTTCAAAAAATAATCGGTTCCTTAATTGGAAATTGTTTAGCTCTTCCGGGGGACAAAATATAGGTGGAAACGGGTTTCATCCATTAATTATAGATATTTTCAAAAAAATTTCACCCCATTTTGAGAAATTATCCCTTAATTCTATTTTGGGCGTAAAAACTGGCTCAAAATTCGATAGCCAATTTTTGATGTTTTATATATATTGTTTATTTATAACGGGAGAAATCGAAATTTATATATACTTCTTTTATAGAACGATATCACATTATAGGATGTGCCATTCGCTGCCAGTAACGATTTTTGTGAGAACGTCCGAAAACTTAAAAAAAAATTAATTACGATTAAACGGTGAAGATACAGGTCAGCGGGGTTTATCCGTAAATATCTAAAAGTCCCAAACTCCCTACCGTTTAATCGTACTTTATTATTTTTTAATTTTCGGACGCTCCCACAAAAACCGTTACGAATGGCAAACGACAAAACCTACAATCCACTTTTTGATGTCGTTCGATAATGGAAGGACCAAAGTATACAACATGTAAATTTCAACCTCCTCCCGTTATAAATAAACGAGATATAAAACATCAAAAATATCGATAAATTATGGATAATTAATCGATGAATCCCGTTTCCTATCTATATTTTGCCGTGCGGAGAAATTAAACAATTTTCAATTAAAGAATGGATTATGTTCTGAAAGTACCTTCCTGTCAACTGTCATTTGGGTCAAAAAATATCGACTTCGATTGGCAAATTTTATTGTTGGTGAATTTTCGCGTAGAATTAAGCTTTTATTTTTCCAAACAAACCAAGTTCTAATTTTTACTAAAAACTAAGAATAGCTCCGTTGCTCTGGGCAGAAAATATCGATAAATTGTCGAGAATTTATCGATTAGGCTCTGCTTTCGCGCATACCTTGACCGCAGGGGACGTTTTAAAAATTCAAAACTACTTTAAATACTATCGATACGATCTACTCACTGTTGCAACTCCATAATTTGCTTTTCTTTCGCGTTCTGCTCCTCCTGGCTCATCTGCACGAGTTGCAGCAAGCGTTCCATCTCGGCGGCCGACCTCTTCACCTCCTCCTCGGCCTTTTTCGCCTTCTCTTCCGCCTCCGCGAGTCTCTTGTTCAATTCCGCGACCGCGGCCGCGTTCCCGCCGGCCTACAAGGAATTATCAATTAACTAATCGACCTCGTATGCTTCCTCCCGACCTTCTGCAACGACGCTTGCAGCTGGTCCGTCTGTTGCTTTTGCTTCTGCAATTGCTTCTCCAACTCGGCCAGCTGCCTTTCCTTTTCTTCCACTTGGCGCTGCTTGTTGTCGGTCGCTTTCCTCTGCTCGTCTACCTGCCGTCTCATTTCTTCCAGGCGTCTCCTTTCGTCGTCCAACTGACGCTTCTGCGCGTCATCCCCTTTCGTCGCTCCCGCCATTTGCAATTTTTTGGTGGCCTCGTGCAGTTGCAACTATAATACACCCCGATATGAGCGGCAATCGCGCTCGGCGCGAACAAAATTAAAAGGAAGTTAGTAAAATCGACACTGTTAAAATAAAACACGCGTACGTAAAGTAAATTTCTTTGCTTGTGAAACATTGGATTGTATTCTTAACGGATAACGATGCTTTTCGTTCATTTGCCAACGTGCGCAGACGTGTCTGCAGGACGACCCACTAAAAATGGTTGAGTAAAAGCCCGCGACAAGTGGCTGGACATTATTTTCAAGTTCCTAGAATGGCCGTTGGAGGACACAACGTCCAGCGTGTCATACTTTTTGGGAAATTATTATAAGTACAAGGTGTTTCAAAGAACATGGCGCAAAAATAAGACTTCTTTTTAAATGTAAACGTGGGTGCGCTACGTGTTTTGTCTGTTACTGGGAGTTATTTTTTTTTATTTACACCAAGTTTATTCAAAACGACAGCACGTATTTTACTACAGAAAGAGTTTGGGCGATTTGACAAGTGACGCATGTATGGGCCAAGGCTGCAATATTTTTCTACGGAAAATTAAAAAAAATATAGTACTAAACGCTCTTATTTATTTTGCTACCGAAAAAAAAGTCAGTGGTGCGCTGTTTGTTTTTAGATAAGCTGGCAATGGTCAAATTATTGACACTGCTTTTGTAGTAACGTATTTATAAATTTAAATAAATTTAACTCTTCAATTTTTGTAGTGTAAAAGAAAAACTGAAAATCATTTAGAAATCTGTGAAATCTTTATAGAATCCGTGTACTTTTTTAAAATTAAAACATCTTTAAATAATAAACAAATTAAAATATAAAAAAATATTTTTAAGTTTTAAATTATTTATAGATTTTTGACTGTCTAAAAGATGTAACATACCGTAAGCAATTTTGACAACTGATATTATTAATTTTTTATTTAAATTGTGATCTCTAATTTGTAATTTTCTTAAAGAAACAAAAAAATATATATATTTTTTTATATTTTTATACACTTTCAATTTTTAATTTATTAATTATATTTCAAAACCAAATTAGTACAAATTACGTACAAAAAATTAGTACAGGAGACATCTTTGAAGTTTTAAGTAATTTCCATTATTTACAGCATCTTTAAATAATAAACAGATTAAATTAAAGAGATACTATTATGTAATTATTAAATAAATATTTTTAAGTGTTAGCATATTTGAAGATTTGTAGGATGTCCAAAAGATGTAACATATGGTCGGGTCGTAACCAATTTCGACAAATCCTAGTGTTAAATTATTATTTACGTTAGGAACTTTAATTGGATCGTTTTTGTGTAACGTACAACTCGTAAATCTGACAACACTGCTGGTAGCATTTTTGAATTCTGCATGTTCAAACACTCCCACGTACTGAATTTTTATAGTTCCAGGTTTGGCAGTTTTGGAGATATTTAAATCCTCCGGTCCTTTTTACTAATCCGCTATATTAAAAACCGTTCCAAACAAAGTACAGGTGTTTTCGTTAGCGTTTGGACGACCTGGTGTAAGCGATCTTTTAGGTCCCATTTCCATTCCATTAAAAAAAAAGGAACTTGATACCGGCATATATGTTTTAAACCAGCCCGTATATTTTCGATTTATCGCAAAAAATGCGAGTGTGCGAACACTTTTATTGAAATACAACAGTTTCTTTAAACTTGATGCAAAAGTGGTGAATGCGCTGGGGTAAAAAAAAATCGATGGTATCGGTTTTTGTTAAATAAAAACACACTAAGTACTTAAACGTTCAAAATTCGGGAGAGCTTTTTTAAAAACATTTATTTACACAGAAAGCGAAATAAAGTTTTTTTCGAAATGGCCGATACAAGGGCTGGAATAATTAAGAGCACATTTTACAATATGACAATCGAATAGATAGGGCTTTTGATGCGATGTCAGCGATGCGTTATCTTCGTTTAGCTTTAGGCTTCGTCTGTCTGCAGTTTGGGACATATAACTAAGTGCAATTATTTATAAACCGCGTGGTTACTCAAGCGAATATCGTATAGTATCGACCGATATTTATCTGTTTGGCTATTCTCCCAAGGAATTTTTGTCATAAATATTACCGTCATGGAAATTGCATCCTCCAGAGGCTTTTCTAAGAATTCGAAAATATTACAAAATAACGCTGGACGAGCGGTTTCACAGTCATCCATGTACCTTAAAAACAATCATCTCGCAGTCCACCGTCTTTTCTTTACCTGATTTTTCTCTAACTCCTGCACCAACATCTCGAGCTGCGCCTGCAGCCTGTCCCTCTCGGTCGCCGCGTTCTTAACCTCGGCCTGCGCCTTCTCGAGCTCAGCCCTCAGCCGCTGCGTCTCCTTGTCGTCCCTCGCGGGCTGGATGCCCCTCTCCTTCTGATACTGCGCCATTTGCTGCAGCTGCTGCTGCAACTGTTTCTCCATCACCTGGATGCGTTTCTGCAGGTCCTGCGCGGTCTTCTCGGCCTGATCCGCGCGCACCGTTTCCCGCTCGATGACGTTCCGCCACTGCTCGAGCTCGGAATCGCCCCTCGCACCCGTCTCCTGCAGCAGTTTCTCCGCGCGGTCGCGTTCCTTCTGGGCGGTCTGCAGTTGCTGCTGCAACCGCGCGATCTCGTCCTGCGACGTGCGCTTTTGCTCGCCTTTCAGCCGCGCCACTTCCTGCTTGTGTTTCTCGAGCTCCGCCTCACTATGATTGAGCTCCTGCTGGAAGTTCATCAGCATATCCTGCGACTTTTCCAGCTGCGTGACCAGCTGGTCCCTCTCCGCGGTCAGCTGCTTAATGTCGGCCTCGTATTTGACGATTTGCTTCTCGATCGACTCGCCCTGCCTGCCCTGTTTGTCCAACATCGACGCCATCTTCTCCCGCTCCCTGTTGGAGTGCGCCAGTTCCTGCTGCAGCTTGACGATCGCCTCTTGCGTCCTATGATCGCGTCTTTGCACGTCCAAACCGCCGCGCACCTGCTGCAGCTCGGCGCGCAGAACGTCCCTTTCCTGCTCCATCGTTTTCCATTCCAGCTTGTCGCGTTCGAGACGCTCGTGCATCCTCGCCAACTCGGTCGCCATCCGTTCAAACTCGATCTTGGTCGCTTCGTTGGTCTCTAGCGCTTTGGTCAGGTGCATCTGCGACTTTTCCAACTCCTGCGCCAACCGTCCCGCTTCCATTTCCGTCGCGTTCCTCGCCTGCAGCGCCTTTTCCAGCTTCTCCTTCAGGCGTTCGATCTCCAGTCGCTCGTCGTTCCTCACCTTGTCCGCCGCGAGCGTCTGGCGTCGTTCCGCCTGCGCCACCTCCATCCGCAGTTTCTCGTTCTCTTTTTCCAGTTTCTCGTGCTGTGCCTTCAGTTTCTCGAAACGATCCCGGATCTTTTCCAGCTCGATCACGGATCGCTCGAGCTCGACGCGTTGCTTGTCTTGGTTCTGGGTAACCTTGGCGACTTCCTGTCGCGCGAGCTCGAGCTGCTTGCTGACCTCGTGCAGCTTCGTCTCGAGCTGCCGGTTCTCGTTCAGCGTCCGCTGCAGGTCGTCCTTGAGACGTTCCGCCTCCGCGAGTTTCTCCTTCTCCTGCTCGTAGACGTACTTGCCCCTGCCGCTCTCAGCCAGTTCCTTCCGCGATTTGTCCAGGTCGCCGAGCGTCTTGTCCAGGCGATCTCTGAGTCGATCGATTTCCGATCGTAACCGGTCGTTTTCCTCTTTCGTCCGGTCGTCTCTGTCGTAACGCGAGAACCTACAAGATCAAACTTAATGAGCTTGTTGGCTTCTTGAGAGCTTAACTGAAATCGAAGAAGCCGACAAGATGATTGGCGAAACGTCAGCAAATTTAATTTATGAATAAACGACGCATAAGGAATCTAGAAGATTTGTTAATAGTATTACAGTAACCTATAGAAGTTTCTTTGGACAAAAGACGAACTAGTTGAAAACGGGACCTCAATATATTGCAAAATTCTGTCAGTAATTTTACGAAGGTTTGCATCTGCCAAATACATAGCTATTTCAGTTTAAAAATATTTAGATGCGTTACCATTTTTCCTGACGACACTTTCCGTTGTTATGTTGGTATTAGGGAATCAATGTCTACTATAGTACTCTGATCTACCTGTCTCTCGCTCCGCTCGACTCTCTCAACGCGTCGTACTCCCCGACAACCTTGCGGAACTCGTTCTGCAGCTTGTCGTGCTTGTCCCTCGCCTTTTCCACCTCTATCGTCAACCTCGCGACCTCCTCCTGCGTTTTCTCGTACGCGGCCTGCGCTTTGGCGCTTTGCGCGTGCGCGCGATCGATCTCGTAGCGCGCGCGCTCTTGCTCCGCGAGGAGTTTTTCCTTTTCGCCCTGCAGCCTCCTGATTTCGAGCTGCGCCTTGTCGTAACGTTCGCGGACCATCTCCAGCTCTTCCTCGCGCTTCTCCTCGAGCTCTTTGCTGCGTGCGAGCTGCGTCTGCGCGCGCTCGTACATCTCCTGTACACGCTCGATTTCGTCCTGCAGCTTGCGCTGGTCCTCGCGGAATTTCGTCGAAATTAACTGCTGCTTTTCGATTTCGAGCTCAAAGCGTTCCCGGTCCGCCTGGACCGCGTCCAGTTTGTTCTGAAGCCGGTACACCTCGCTCTGCGACCTGAAATCGGAAATGAAATCGAAACATTTGCCAGAAACCGATGAAATCCGGCCGTCGGTACGCGTCGATTCGTCTATTCTCTTGATAAAAGCGCGAATAACGGTTTGCGCTAGAATGCCGCAATTCGACTAGCTTTAAACGACCCGCGACCTATAAGAAATGGCTGAGATCGCGGCGTTAAAAAAAATCGTTTTTATCGCCCGCCTCTTCTCTGTTCTCCTGCGTCTGTTGTCGGTGCTCTTGATAAAACCGCGAATAACTTCCGAACTGTTTCAACTAGGGAGCCGAAATTCGGCTTCTTTTAAACGACCCGCCAGGCACACCTGCCTATAACAAATTTAGTTCGTGGAACGCGACGTCGAAAAAAGGTTTTTTATTTTTCGTCTGTTCTCTGTTCTCCTGCATCTCTGTTTCTGTTTTTTTTTTTTATAAAAACGAGAATAACTTCGGAACGGTTTGACTTAGAATACCGAAATTTGACTCTTCAAATCGGCCACGAGACTATAACAAATGGCCGCGATCGGGCAGTGGCGTTCATCTTTTTTTTTGCGATTTTATTATGTTTTTATAACATCGCTATGAATCGCAAAATTTAAAGACGACTTCTAATGTAACACACGTATAGAGTTTAATTTAGAGTTCGCGGCGTCTGTTCTCTGTCATCTTGATAAAAACGCGAATCACTTCAGAACGATTTGAGTAAGAATGCGGAAATTGGGCTCCTTTTAAATGTCCCATGCGACCGACTGGCATATATAACAAAATTCACTTATTTTTTTTGCTCAAAAAGGGAGAAAAAATATATAGCCAGCGTATTGATCTTTCTTACTTGCGACTAAATAGTTCCAGCTTTCATTTGCATTTAAAAATCGCAAGAGAAGACAAGAAGAAATCATTTACGCTAAATATATCGATACAAAATGCTATTCAGTAAGAAAAAGGACCCATAAAAATGACTTTACGATTTAATGAAATTTGTAGCTCTCAAAGCGGTCTTAAAACCAGACGGCTACTTCGGAAGATAACAATTTTCAGTTTTTTTTTGTCATAATCAGAGTTACTGCTACAAAGTCCATTACAGAGAACAGACACAGGAGAACAGAGAACAGACGAAACATAAGAAATATGCTTTTTTCGACGCGAAACGAAGTCTCACCTGTCGTACTTTTCGAGGATCTTCTCGAACTCTTTGTGGACGTTCTCCCGCTCGTCGATCGCCTTCTGCGACGCATAAATCGCTTTCTCCAGTTTGTCCTTGAGCATGTCGATCTCGGCGATCGCGTCGTCCCTCTCGATCTGCAGTTTTTGTTGGTGGGCGTGCGTCTTCTCCCACCGCTCCTTGAGCACGTCCAGTTCGGTTTCGAGGTCCGCCTTGTCACGCTGCGCCTTCGAAATCTGGTTGAGCTGCGTATCGAGGCGTTCCTTCAACTTTTCGCACTCGTCCTGGAAACCGTCCTTCTCCTTTTGAAGGCGCCCGATGTTACTTTGCAATTTTTCCAGTTTGTCCCTAAGCCGATCTGCTTCGTGCTGGGCCTGCTCTTTCTCCTTCTGCGCGCGAGCAGATTGGCCGAGAGCCTTGTCCAATTGCGATTGGATATTCTCTAAGTCGTATCCGACTTTTTCCTTTTCCAGCTGAATCTGTAATGGATTTTTACGAACCTAGTGATATTATTGACTTCCAAGAAATCCGATAATATTGGAGCTATTATATGACATATAACGTAAACCTGCTTCGTTTTTGAGTGTAGAGAAAAAAATTATTTTTTTTATCTTTTTCCTTCATTCATAATTATTAATTAAGTTTGAAGCATTTTATACTTTTTTTAAATTAAGCAATCGGAAATAATACTTTTTTGTGATTTTACTATTTTTTATTAAATAAAAATTGAAAATTGTCAGGTTCTTTCATATAGCTGGAATAATTAAAAATTACTAAAGTTAATTCGAATTAGTTTTGGATAGTTAAAGTAGTTAGAATTAGTAAAATTGGTTCAAGTTAATAAGTCTAAGTAAAATTAATTTTGGTTGGTTAAAATAGTTAAAATAAATTAAAGTTAGTACTGGTCAGTTACTGCAGTTAAAATTCGTAAAAGTGGATAAAAGTTATTAAAATTAGTTGAAGTTAGCAAGATTAATTGAAGTCAATTTTGGTAAGTTAAAGTTAGTGAAATTAACTAAAGTTTTTGATTAACTAGAGCAATTAAATTTAATAAAGTTAAAGATATAGTTAAAGTAGCAATAAAAAATGATACCTATATGTCGACTAAAACAACGAATAATAAATGGGCAGTTTGACAAACATTATTTTTTAGGTTTTACAGTAATTAATTAAAAAAAAGATTTCTTTCCATAAAATTTGACAAGTCATATAAAATAAACGAAGCAAGAAACTTTTTCTTGGCCGATAAATATGCCCTTAAACTCTTGACCGTAATTTTTACCCGTCGAGTTTCCCCAAGTGACTTGTCTAACTTTTCTTGGAGCTTGTCGACCTCTGTCTGCGCCTTGTCTAGCGCGTTCTGGAGCTTGTCTTGTTGCAGTTGAGCCTTTCCCAAGGTCGCCGAAGTTCGCTCCAGATCTTCTCTCATCTAAATTCCGGAAGAATTAACCGCTTAGATCTCCATTACGCTACACATATGCCGGGTGTCAATGAAATTACTAGCCAAGCGATAACTCTGTCAAAAAGAAATTGAAAAAACATAAAATCTAGAAGTGTTTTATAAATAGGAAATGTTTTCATCTTTTTTCGATAGCTGTAATAATAATGAAAAAATATATTATAATCAGGATAGAGTTTTTTTTTTATAGGAAACCGTTTGATAAAAGTTAAAAAAAAACATACCTCCGATGAATCCGTTTTTATGTATAACCCATACTTTTTGGGATATTTGGATATTTAAAATTTATCAATTCTTTGCAATAGAGTTATCGAGATTTGGCTCGGTGTAAGGTGTGTAAAGCTTGCCTTGTCCAGCTCTGCGTAGGCTCGGTCTTTGTCGGCATGTAATTTGGCCGTCGCCGCCTGAGCCTTCTCGAGCTCTTCTCTGAGACTGTCTTGTTCCTGGTGTGAGTTTTCCAATCGGGCCTTGAGGCGATATACTTCCCCCTATGCGATTTGTTAAATTATAATAAACTTTGAATCTATACTCGGTCGCTCTTAATCACATTAATTTTTCGCGAAACATTACTAACACCATTTGTTCTATTTTCTTTTACTATCTACCAAATAATTAATTACTAATAAAAATACCAATAACTGCAATTAAAAAGGCAAGAAAATTGCGCATTGATATCATTTCTTGTTTTTTGCATAATAAAAGGACACATTATTTACAATAACACAATAATAAATTAATGTAAAGTAAAGTGTTCCCAATTATTTCCAATTTGTAAAAATTTGTAAAAAATATTACAAATAGATAAAAAAAATAGAACTCTACAAAACATCAAAACTTTCTAATTGTGGATAATTTTTACTCTATTTTGTGAACGTCAACTGAAAAATATTTTTTCAAATCGGTGGATATTCTCTTTGTTTAAAGTACAGAGTGTCTCGCATACATTTCTCAAAATCCGCGACAGTTATCGATAAATTTTAAGTACAAAAGTTCTTTGTATTTAGAGAAACTTTCAGATTTTATTCACTTTCCAATTATACGGGGTGCCCTAATGCTTCTCCCTGGCATTTTGACAGTTAAATAAAAAGTGTCAAAGTATATACCCTCCAAACTGCACGATTACAAATGAGGGAAAAAAATCAAAAATGGACTTTCAAATTTTAAATTTTTTCTTATTAGTTAATTTTGGTTAGGGTAGTTTTTTTAATACTTACGTTGTTTTAAGAATTTTCAAATATTTATTAAAGGTAGAAGTAAATGAGTTCTATCCATAGATACCTGAACGTCCTTTCCACTTCCCTCCCATCTTTCGTTTGGCCGACAACAAATTTTTTATGACCCTTTTAACAGCGGATGGTACCAGCTATAACCGACGTTTTGGTACTATAGATAAGGGATCAAAGTATAGATCCAAAGTCAATCTTATCCCGTCCATTTTAATACTGTTAAGTTTTTAATACATTTATTAAAGATAAGAGGTAATCGAAGTCTATCCATAGATATCTCAAAGTTCTAATTAACCAAAACTATCGCAGGTTTCGACAAAAGTCATCTTACATGAATCACCAGCCTTCCATTAATGTATCGAAAAGTGAGAAGGTTACCTGCGACTTTTCCAATTTTTCCTGCAGGGCTTGCGCTTCGGAACGGGCTCGTTCGCTGTCCGCCTGGGTCACCCGGAGCTCCGCTTGACACCGTCTCAAATCGGACGACGTCTTGTCTGCTCTCTCGTGCGCTCTGTCCAGCTCGTGCGAGCTGCTGTATATGTTTCTACCGAACGTGGTCGTTTTGGTCTGGGCGAGATCCAAGTCCTGCCTCAGCCGTTCGTTTTCCAGTTCCAAGCGGGCGATTCGCTGCCTCATCGTCTCGTAATCGTCTCCCCTACGTCCGAATTCCATCGCCTTGTCCAGCTCAGCTTTCGACTTGCCTAAGTCCGTCGTAACAGTTTTCAGGTATTAGTAGCTTTATTCGGGTTTTACAACCGCGCAGAATTACTTAACACGGAGATAATGGGTACGACCTACGTAACGTTTTAACTTCGGAGAGTAGACGGGAAGTGCCATGAACGAGAAGTTGATGAATACTCAAAATTTGCTTCATATCATATGTGTTCTTTCCATACGAATTCATCTATATACCTATGAAACAACTTTTAAATATTAACTTTAAACTTAAAACTTTCTCTTGGTGAGGTTTACGGTTTTAGATGCTTTTTGATACATTTTAGGTTAGGAGATACGGTTTTCATTGGGTCCTCATTTGCCTACCTATCTTTTCTATATAATAATAATGAATAAAGTTAATTCTCAGAAAATTAGTTACATAAAAATTTTACATATATTAGGCAATTTAGAATTTAATAATAATTGGGATATCATTCAGGAGGTACTGTTTCCGTTTTTTTAAACAATTGACATTTAAGGACTCAAATTTTCTAGCAACACTAGTATAAATTATTAAAAAACGACTTTTCATAAAGTAAGGTATAGTGAAGAGGAAGTCGGCATATATATATATATATATATATATATATATATATATATATATATATATATATATATATATATATATATAATCAAGGAATTGAATATGAAACAGAGAAGAATCCTCCATGCAGTGTGTATGCAGAAAACTTTATCACAGTTGGAAAAAAAATTAAAGGACTCTCTCTTAACAGAACAGTGTTCACCAACTGCAGAACAATGATTAGTATTAAAAAAATAAATAAATAAAAATAAAACGTAGTATAAAAAAATAAATTTGAATGCTTCAAAAATCAATAAAAGTCCATAATTCAAACCTATTTGTTTAATTCATAATTATTATATTTTTCTATTTATGTTTTTTATATATTTTTACATTGAGTATGCTTTCTGTATACATTTATTGATAAATTGCAACATTAAATGCAGTTTCAATCTTATTCCAAATGGCGATGCAAACTGTTTTATTGCAAATAACGCTTATTCGAAATTTAGTAGAAACACGCCCTCTAACGGATATATGTCCAACGTACAAATATTCTCGAGAGGCACTTTTTTATGTAAAGTTAATAATTAGAATTTTTTTTCTTTGATATTTCGGGCACCAAAACCATAACTCTATTGTAAATTGTTTTGATTTATTATTGTTTTTTGAGATTGCTTGTGATGGTTTCGTAATTGTCGTCAAGAAAAAAATCCTAACCTTTTATAGTAATAATAGTGTATGGTTCCATTCTGACTAGAATATTAAAAATTTCTTTCTTTAAGATTTTAACAGTTCCAATTTTCTGTTGCTGAATATTTTTATGCACTGGTAATAAGGACCATTTTCGGTTCCTGTGATGGTGAGGAAAACTAAAATTCTGTGTGCGTGTTGCATAAACAGTTTAGAAGTAAAAAAGGATCTATTTTTTTAAAAGTCACATGAGGAAATCCTGTATGAACCCTGCAGTTACTGTTAAGACATTCAGTTCTTTGAACTTTCCTCTGCACGACTATCTACTTTCTAGACCTAGAATTGTTCTAATTGCAAGTTTTTGTACTATAAATACTTTTTCAATGTCTCTGCAACTCCTATACAGTAGTTATCTAATATGACTTTCAAAATTGGCATGATATAATCTTTTTAGTATTTATACCTATGTAGTTTTTTAGAACTCGAAACGTATACGTAAACGAATAACATACCTTGTTTCATTTACCCACAACATAACTAACACGGAATTAACAAGTTATCGTGATCGTTTTTGGTTCAGCTACTTTGCTCTTGTTCGTCTTGAATAGTACTATATTTGCTTTTTACAAAACTTCGGTTATCAACTCTCTTGTTTACAGATCCGTAAAACTATTTCTTACCTCTGCTCTTCTCTCTAATAATAAACACATTAAAGATATTAAGCGTTCCATGAAAAAATACACTTCACCACAACCTACCAATAGCAATGAGGTCGAAAGCAATCCTACACTTGCCACTGTGGTCCTTCCTTACATTCAAAACATCACTGACCACATATCAAAAGTTCTAAAGAAATATAACGTCAAAACCAGATTTACCACTTGTCCAAAAATCTCTCATCTTCGGTCCGTCAAAGACAAAATTCCATTTGAGATGCCAGGAGTTTACAGCATTCCATACATATGCGGCAAAGAATACATTGGAGAGACTGGACGAAAAATATCAACTAGGCTCAAAGAACACGAAAGAGCACGACTAAGACAAATAAAGTCATCAGCTGTGGCCGAACACACTCATGAAACCAGACATAAAATTTTATTCGATAAAAATAAAATTCTAGCATGTAATCAGTTCTTCTACCAACGAAAAATCCGAGTCTATAGAAATCTATAAACAACTTAACAATATTAACCACGACTCAGGTCTCTACCTGTCATTAATTTGGGAATCAGTCATCCGAGACGACGGTGTTTATGCCGCTCATTTAGCTCCGTCCCCTTCAAACAATATATTAGCAGGTACAGAGTAAAATACGAGGCAGTTTCAGTCAAGCTCTGAAGAAGCCAACAAGATGATTGGCGAAACGTCAGCAGCAAAAATCGACGCAGGAGGACTCCAGAAGATTTGTAAAAAGTATTACAGTAGCCTGTGGAAGTTTCTTTAAAAAACAACAACCAATTTATTTTTATTACATCAATGTTCAACTTCGTCATAAAGCTTGTGGCTGCGTTCTTTAAAATATTTATATCATAGCAAACTTATATCGTCAGCATAGTTCGTTATTTTACAATTTTCTACTACTGTAAGTAATTCTGTTATGTTATTTATGTAAAATACAAATAAAATAGGGCCAATGACACTTTTATGTGGAATTCCTAATGAGACAGGAGCAGGGCTAGATACAATTCTATCCAAGCCAGTACATATGGCTACTTGTTGCATTCTATCTGTTAGATATGATGTGATCCACTTTAGTGTCACCTCTCGGATACCATATTGATACAGTTTCTTCAATAAAATATCGTAGTCTAGGGTATTAATCATATGCTTTTGTCAGTTCATGTTCAACTGATATAATCCGGTAGTTTTCTAATTTACTTGCATCCCCCTTTTCAGAACTGGCATGGCTACAGCAAGCTTTAGTTGTTCTGGAAAGACCCCATCTTAACGAATTATTAATTATGTAAATCAGTAGTTGAGCAATTGCATCAATTATAAATTTTAATAGGTTACTGGACACTTCATCAAACCCGCTACTATGTTAATTTTTTATTTTTCTATAAAGGTAATTTTTTGGTATTTAATTTTAAGTACCAATTTCTGGGCAGTATGATCAGATATGAACGAATTTAGAACATCAGAAGTAAAATCTACTTCAAATTTTGTTAATATATTGTCTATGCACGTTTTGCTGTTAACTGTTACGCGAGTATAATCGCATATGGTCTGAACACATTAAACGAGTTAATCATTGACAGAAAGTCACTCAGAGTCTTACTATTGGACTTCAAATCTATGTTAAAGTCTTCTGCAATAACTATCAAACTAGCACATTATTTGGTTTACTTGTAAGGATATCTAACAACACTCTAGTTTACGTAAGGAAACCTTATCTCCTGCGAGGGGTCTGTCACAACACTCAAATACGTATTTTTCAGCAAGCTGAAGCTTGTGTAAATTGCACAGCCCCCGTGCCTATTTTCCTGTCACCTACAGAAACTTGCGACTAGTCTGAATCTTTCTATACCATAATTTTGTAGGTGTATTTGTGTTTTCCAATGCTCTGAGACACACAACACTTGACAATCTAAATTGAGTTTGAGAAAAACCTCCAACAGGTCAACTGAACTTCCAATTGACCGAAAATTTTGATGAATAAGACTGAGGCCGTTCTGAATCTCTTTCATCTTTGTTGTGCACGAACTATTCATGGTGTTATCATTAATTTCTAAAAATTTTCATCATAATAATAAAACTGGGCAGTTATTGCTTCTTGTCTAGTACTTTACGTCTTGGTAGCCCATACGATTACAGTTTGGGCAAGACAACTCCGGTGCTTCACATTCTCTCCCTTCATGTCAGCCTCCACATTTATGGCAGAATTTTTCCATCTGGCCATACTTCACCACATGCCCAAAACCACAACATTTAAAACACATAGCCAATGGTATATATTCTTGACCATAAATTATAACTAGGTCGAAATTTATTCTTTCTTTTTTTTGCTGTTGTCGGGGGTGCTTGTAGTATCCAATTCCCCTTGAGATGGTTTCTGCAATTTTTTTTCGCTATAATATTAATTTTTTCATTTAATGCATTAATTTCTCGATTGAATCGAAGTAATTCATCCATAAATTCTGCATCCGTGTTGCCTTTTTCAATTCCTGTCAGCATAAACATGGGATCTGTTATACCTATTTCCTTTACATTAATATCACTTTTATCTTCTAGGGTTACTTTTAATTTCTGTTGTTGAGTATTTTTCTATGACTGTGCACTATTATTGCTCCACAATTAAGGGAGATTATATTTGTGTGTCCTTGAGATGTAGCGGTTTGACCTCGGGTTTGACTTATGTGTTTTTGCCTTAGGAGACGGTTTCCTTTTTCAAGCGCATCCATTCGATATGCCATTTTAGTAAATGTTTTTGGCATTATGGATGAGCAGTTCCATCATCATTCACTTCGCTCTTGCTACCTATTTCCATTGCATATTCTATATTGTCAATAGCTTTTAACACCACATTGATCATTTGGTTTCCCTCACACGCTTCCGAAGTGTGCTTTTCATCAACTTCATCACTCAAGCTTATGTTTGTACGTGACATTCTAGTATCCTTTTGCCTTTTACTATTTGTTCTGTCTGTTTAGTCATCAATTTCTTACGCATTAAAATCCGAATTAGTGTTATTTGAGACCTTCATTGGTGAGCGTGCAATGGAATTCCTTGCCTTGTAAACGTCTCAAATTCCTTATTTTGTTCAATGTTGAAGATCCCCCCGCCACTGGGGTATTCAGAGTTTTTGTTTTCTATTCCAAGGATTGCTTTTATCTGTTGATGACACTTTTTTCCTATCACTATTTTTTTTCAATCACTTTTATTAATATTCCGTTCTCTAACAAACTACAATTTACAGTAACTTGAGAAAGCTGCACCGACACGTCCGTTCGCGTCGCTTATCGCGCCATATAGTCAGAAAAATATTAATTCTTAATTCGTTAAATGGCCTTCGTACTGAAGATGATGAACGATAACTCAGAAACGGTGATTTGTAGACCCCTGATGTTATATATCCTTGAATTCGCCTTTCAGTAGTCTATCTAGACATAGCATAATATATGGGGGTTTGCATTTGAAAAAAGTGAGAAAACTGGTTATGCGCGAAGTATGGCAACACTGTAGGATTTTATTGTAATTTAAAAATGCAATCTTTGCGAAATAAATAAACGATAAAAGTATCTTGAAATAAGATTGAAATACCCGATACAATGCTGAACTTTTGTTTCAAAGACCTAGTTAAATCAGTGTTAATATACGGCAACATATACTGTGAAGCAGCTAACCATGTATACATGAAAATATAATAAATGAAAATTCCAAATTAACCAGAGCAGCTATTGTAGTTAACTTTATGTTCAATCTCTTCTAGTTCCAGAAATAAGGTGGTGAGTCAACTATAGAGTAAAATTCATTGGTTTAAAAAGTTATGAGAAAATGCTATATACAAAAGTTGTAAAGATTGTTAGGAAGCAAGTTTTAAAATTATGTTAAAGTATTCAAGGCAGCACAAGAAGCATGACAAATAAATCATATATTTTTTACACCTTATTTTGAAATTTTGTTCTGAATTCCCGTTAAAAATTTGCAACTTTTTTTTGAAGTTTTGCATCCTAACAATCTTTCGAACTTTTGCATTTACTATTTTGCCATAAGTTTTGAGACCAATGACATAATGAACTTTATTCTATAGTGGATCCAGCCCGTTAATCCACAAACATGGCACTTTTAGGGACTCACCCAACTCGGACTGGGAACTTTCCAATTTGGCCTCGATGCGTTCGCGGTCGTTTTGCGCGCGTTCCAATCGGGCCGTCAACTTTTCGACCTCGCTATTCAGCGCGTGGATCTTCATCTTGTACTCCGCCAATTCGCGCTCGTGCAGCTCGCGTTCCTCCTGCTTCTCCTGTTCCGCCCTGTCCCTCTGCTCTCTCAACTGTTGCATTTGTTTCTCTTTGTCGCCGATGGCTTCTTCCAACGTGGAAAGTGCTCCCTCCGACGAACAGTGATGGGCCTGCATCGCCGATAGTCTGGCCCGCGCCATGTCCACCTGATTGTCTTTCTCTTTCAGCAGGTCCTCCAAATTTTCGACCTGTTCGAACGGTTGCAGTATAAACGAAACGAAACGTGTCAATAATCGATCTACGATCGTAATGGATTAATATTGGTAGTACGGCGAAAAATTCGGGGTGTGTTAGTTAACTTCAACGTTCAACATTTACTTACTAGTTGAACTCTCTCGACACTGGTCAAATTCACTTTCGTTTCACTTAATCGCACAGAACATCGTAATATCTGTAAAAGGCGGTCCGTAATGGCTCAAACCAAGATCTGAATTACAAAATGAGAGTCGTGGACCGCTAAATTATGGAGTGTTAATGTCGAACACCACGTACGTCAGGCGAAATGCAATCGTACTTTCCGTATCTCGAAAAACGGCTCTGTGTATCAGGCGTCCATTTTTCGATGGTTTTACGCTGCCTTGAAACTTATTCAAAATGTATTTTATCTCTGGAAACTTAATACTCACATATTTTTACTTTTTTATTTTTATTTCACTTTACTTATATATTTTTTAAATAGGTCTCTTTTTATATTAAAATTAATGTTTAATTTTTGAAAAAAAAAATATTTTTTTTCATATTATTGAGTTCTTGCCAGGATTTCGAGGTTTTCTGCGTTTTAGATGTTACAAGTTTTAATGAAAAAATCTAAACCAGTCACGGCAGCAAATATTAAATTGGAAAATTATTAAAAAAATAAATTAGCCGTTTCATTTGACTTCAACACCCAAATAAAATATATACTTTTTGTTTTTTTCCCATTTGCCACTAATAATTGTTTAACATCTGTTTTATTAAAAAAAACACTCATTAGGAGATGAAACTTTTCTGGAACTAGTTAAAAAAAACTTAAGTTAATTTTATTAAAGAAAAACAAAAAAAACAAGCCAACCTACCAACTAACCCTGCAAGTATGGCGGAAAATGTTTTTTTAATATTGTTTTCTGAAAAACTAAAATAGATGTACGAGATTGTTCTTGAAAATATAATAATAAAGTCATATTGGAATTGAAGTCAATCCGTCGATATACGCTTGTTTCGTTTTTTTTATTTTTCTCACGACTTTATCTTTCAAATTTAACCGTTTAACGTTACTTGTTTATAGATTACCGTGGTCTTGGATAAGTGGCTTTTTCTTCACAATTTCCTATTCAGACATCGTATTTGTCGATTTGGATCATGAAGGTTATCATTAATATATATAGTATGGAAAACAGTTGATTTTGAAATTTTTTTATTTTTTTCGAAAATATATTTGTTTCCTTGTTTTTATCCTTGTCTAACGATTTAATTTCTCAAGTTTAACCGTTCGTTTTTGGAATACAAATCTAGGCTTGCTTACTGTGGTCTTGGATAAGCAGGTTACGCGACATTTTATTTGCATTTTTTGACAATGTCCGTTGTATTTGTCACGCGAAACAGTTGATTTCGAAAAGGTTTTTCTTGAAAATATGTTTCGGCCCTTGGTTTTATCACTTTCTCAAGTTGAAATACTTTGAAATACTCATCCACATATTATTATTGTTATCTGCGTCACGTAAAACGCGTATAATCGGGGCCTGTAATTTTTGACTTTAGTGTTTTCTTTTTAGAAACCCCTACCCAAAAAATAAACATGATATTTGGAAGACAATTTAATAAGCTTTAGTATGAGTTTAAATTTGTCAAGAATGCTGATATTATATATGCGTAGCTACGGTTAAACAAATGAAACGTATTCATGCAATTGTTATATACTTTGCAAGTGGAATTTTCGCATTTTTCGTTTTTAACCATTTTGGTAGCATTGAATTGTGTTCGCATGATGCATACTACACAGCAAAAAGCAGTACAAGTTAGCGCTTGAATCGAAAGTGGACTTCGCCACCGAGGTGTTGCTCGACAACTGGACATGACACGCGCGGTAGTTCGAAGAGTATGTCAACGGTTGAGGAGACTGGATTTTTTGCTAGGCATTCTGGAACATTTATTGTGTCAACTGTTCTTTATTGCAGAATGTTGCAATGAAGAGCGGAGCCCTTATGAAGGTCGTTTCTGCATGATATGGGGTGCAATTCCTATGGACGCATGATCCGACCCTGTACATCGAGGATATTTTATCAGATCACGTGGTATCAGATGTCAACTACATTGGAGAAGAATTCATTTTTATGCATGACGAAACTAGACCGCACACTGCAAGGATTGTGTAAGTGCAGTCCCCACCTCAATCCGATCGAACATATTCGGGATGAGCTAAGAGAGAATTCGAGGTAGACTTCGTACCCCCACCTCGATCCCAGAGCTTATTGTTGCAGTAGACGAAGAGTGGCTTAACATTCCACAAGAAACAACAGCGTACTTGATTAGATCTATTCCTAATCGAGTAAGAAATGTTATTAGAGCAAGAGGGGGTCGAGTTGCTAATTATCAATAATTGGCATACTTTATATGCTAAACCTAAAAAGCGAAAATAAATTTTAATCAATTTAAACTCGTATTAAAACATATGAAATTGTCTTTCAAACAGCATTTTTTTGATCTAATCAGTAGTTACCAAAAAAAAAAAGAAATTTAAATCAAAGGTTTGCAATGGGCCGATTTCTATGCGCGTGCGTGCGCCTTCGTGCGTGTCCGATGATGCCATTGTGGCGGACATTTTATAAATAATTATTTTTTCAAGACGGACCCATTGTAGGTTTTTAAACGAATGGATCCCCAAGCTACGTACCTTCCTCTGCAGCACGTTAATTTTCCGATCCTTGATGTCCATGTGCTCCCTCATCTCGGCGATTTCCGCGCCCGCCCTCGCCCTCTCCTGCTGGTGCTGCTGCGTCTTCTTCTCGATCATCCTGTTCTTCTCCTCCAGTCGCGCCCTCAACTCCTCCACGTCCGCCTGCAGCATGTTGTAGTGTTCTTCTTTCGCGCACAGCGACTCCTTCAGCACCGCGATGTGCCTCTGATAGTCCTGGTGCTGTTCCTCGAGCGTTTTCATCTTGGCGCCCATCGCGAGGATCTCCTGGTCCCTGCGCTGTATCTCCACCCGGAACTCGTCGAGCTGCGCGACAAGCGGACGCATGCACTATCCGTGCGGGACGCATGCGCGGTGCCGAGAGACAGTGAGGTGGTAAAACTCGAACCCCGCGCCAAGCGGCCGGAGAGTCTTTTACATCTAGTTTTACAGTCTACCCGATTATAGAGCCGTCCTTCCCGATCTGCACGTCGTTCAACAGAAAACTTACTTGTCGCCTGGGCTTGGCGGGGCCAAGCCTATCCGCCTCGCTCTCCAGCAGGCGAACTTCGCGTTCTAGAGTCGCTATTCTAGCGTCTTTCGTATCCAGCAGTACTTTGACGGTACTACTGGAGGGCGAGGGTACTAGCTCCAGCTGCGTCTGCAGCGTGCGTAACGTCTCGTTAGCAGCCCGCAGCTCCTGCACAGATAGGGATTGAGAGAGGGCGCGCGCGCGCACGCGTGCCAGGCCGCTCACCGCGCTCATCGCTTTACCACCACCGTCATCGACACATTACCAAGAATACCGTCGTTCCTGCACCCGAGACCAAATACCGCCCGCGCCTGGCCTCGTTTCGTGGTCCGGGTCGAAGAAATTGGTTCCACGTTGTTACGATCGTTAACAATTTAAACAAGAGCGACATTGGATTTAGATGGAAACAAAAAAAGTTTAAGGGAAAAAGTGGAACCTTGGTGGCAAAGTTAACATATTTGGGCGAAACATTAATCGACGTCTTTATTTAGTTGAATTAAGGAGTATTAAAAATGATTTCCTTCATAATGGCTTCACTCGAACAAAACATCAAATTGTAAACTCAAAACAACGACAGGACGATGTGAGATGGTACAAAGTTAAGACTGCATTCAAGTGCAAGACGGCCTTAATAAGCGTACTTACAAGAACAAAGGCAGAAGCATCGACTTAACAATAACCATGATTGCAAACTAGAAACAGACTAAATAGGATTATGAAAGAATATATAAAACACAATATCTGAGTAACAAATAAGAATTTCTAAGAAACGAATCGATTAAGAATGTGGGATATAAGTGTCTCGTATGAGACAATGCGAATTGTAAAATACCCAACCACGTCAAAGAAATTTTATTAACTAATTAACATTTTAGAGAAAACAATGGACAAGTAAACAAGAGCATTGTAGATGTAATAGATATTATTAAAGCATAAGATAATATCAAAATTAGTGTCCCGGTCTCACTTGATTTTAGCCAAACGTTCGACATGATAAATCGTGAGATCCTCATTTCAATTCATCATAACGTAGGATTAATTGAAGCGTCTTGTAAATTCGTATCGTCCTTTTCAAATGACAAAACACAAAAACGAATCAACCTCAAGGCTTTCGACTGTTAACAAGAGAATATCACAGGGTAGTATTTTAGATTCACGTATTTTTTTATACCATAATTAAACCGAAAACAAGCATACAAGTGCGGATAAAATGTCACAATAGTTACAATAACTAGAGAATCTAGAACTTTAAGAGGCACGCCTTTTGTAAATAATACCAACTCGCTTCTATTAATAAAATAATTTATTAATTCTCGGAAAAATTGTTTTTGCACAATTTCAAGACTGCACTGATTCAATCCAATATCAATCTCTATGGATCCTATTTCTGGGGACCAATGAATTGAATATATTTGCCTGATAGCAGCTTAAAAATATGCCGTAACAATTTTCATACGCGATACGGTGCAAATCGTAATTCAAAGTGGCTCTAATATGGGACCTAAGCTTGTTTCGACATAATTGAAAACGGTGGTATCAAATGTGTATCAAATACACCCGACCCGATTTTATTATGTAATATGTAATACTTGAAAGCGCCGTTACGCCACTACTGACAGAATGATATCCTGATCGGTTAGGAGACAAAATGTTATTTGTTTCCAAAAAAAATACGTTTTTTCTAGAAGTGTAGATAGGTAGCGTAAAATTTGAATAGGTCTTAATTCATTAAAACTATCACTTTATTATTTTTGAAAATTGGAGTGATTTTATTTTAATAACAGTATGCTCGGCCTATATACAAATTTGGCAACTATAAGAGATGGAAATCTTCGTATACTGTCTGTTACAAAACATCAAATTTAGTGCGAATATTCGGTGTTTAAAGTCATTCTTTAAAAGGTGGTTCGAAATCCAGCGATAGAAAAATGTATTATTGGCAGCTCTTCTATTGCAAAACACGTCGAGGGATATAATGTTGAAAAGTCGGAAGATTTTCAAGTCGTCCACAGTGCATTGCACTGTTATTTTCTGAAACTGTATACTGGACGTCGTGGACATCGAACGCCACGTTAAACTTAACGTAAAAAATATGCAGACGATCATTCAATTGCAACTTTTGTAAAAGTTGTAATTTGTACTTAGTTTTCATGTGGCAATGGGATAAAATTTCTCTGTCCAATTTCGTCGACTGCGGATAGAAAGGGCACCACGTGGCGGTATTGGGCAGGGCGTTTACTTTTAAAATTCACAACATATAGCGGGATGACAGACACCGACATGCTTGATGATGTTACAGGTTCTTGATTATGTGCCGGATGATATGAAAACGAACCCACACACACTACCTCACGTATACAACTACTGGAATCATTATTGGTTGCTCTCATTGAAAAAAACGATACTGTACGATGGAAAATGACGGTCGATGACAATATTAAAATGGCATTTTTAAAAGAAGAAACGTTTAGATAACGATAGTTGACTGAAAATTCACGTCCTTAATCGCGGCATTCTTAGCTACGACATCGTCACTAACCACGAACAAAAATTTACAGGCTAAACTACCAAATCGTTTCACGAATACGCAACACAAACAAATTAATGGGAAAAAGCGATAATTGCCGATTCGAATAAAAAGCAACGAACCGAGAATGATTATTTACTTAAGTTCTACTTAACCAGACGATTTTTTTATAACGCATTTAAGTAGTAAAATATAAAACCATTTAGAAATATGAATAAACAACATGATCATCAAACGCTAAGCATTTGTATGTCGTTAACTGCCTACCGTTCCAATTAGCTTAAATTTATTAAATATTTTTTGCGTTAACATTGTATTATTTAAAGTCGTCGTAATCCAGTGCTGATAATTTCGATACATACTTACTATTTCAATACTTCAATGATTGATAAATTAAAAAATTGATGAGTTTTGATTAGTTGCCTGAAATTAAACCGACCACATAAGAATGTCAGTTGCTGAGATGGATTAATTTATATTCGCAATTCTGTACGTTAAGTAGTGAAAAAACGTTCTGAATCCGGACGTTAATTTTGAAAGTAAAGAAAGAAAAAGTACATTATTCACTTAATAGCTATAAAATTAATACTATACGCATATTTTTTAATTCATGGAAACGCGAACCCTTAAAAATTTCCTTCAAGATAAATGTCTTAAAACGTCTGATATTAAAAAAAATGTCTTTCAAAAACGATGCCGCGCGAAAACTGAACCAATGAAAGCAGCCAAACGAAAGTTCAAATTGATAAGTACCTGTTTCTGAGCCATGGCTTGCATTTGTTGGAACATGGCCCGTTCCTCCTCTTTACCTGAAACAAATTCCAAAAACACCCCCCCGATTAGTCCCGACCAAATATGAGTCGTCTTCCCTGCTGGGGCAACGCTGATGGGTGAGACGAGATGGTTGATGCGCTGTAACTGTGCCGCCGAAGTCGTACGTCACGTATCAGTGATTAGATACGCTAGCGTGGAATGCACAAAAAGCTTCTCGATTAATACCGTAAGGGCGGTAATTCGTTTTTACTATTTACTTCGAAGTAAATTTAGGTCGGTCGGGTCATTAGTCAAACCGATGCAGTATCGAGTTTACCGTTCGATTTAAAACGAGTTTGGTTTGTTTTAAAGTTGATCGAGTTTTTCGACCCGCATTTCGTTGAGTTTCTATGGGAAACTTCACCGTTTTAGTCGTGAAGGGGTTCTTGAAGACTATTGTTGAGCGAATCAAAGAAACTTTCGCACTATTTACACATCCTAATGATAAAAACCCCGCATATCGTTGTTCTTTGTTAGAATTTGATACTTCGAAAACAGATAGAGGATCTTTTCCACAAGAGTTCAACGTACAATTTGCAACTGTCACAAGCTCACGAGAAGAATTTGTTGTTTAAATTTTGAAAAATATGCAATTAGCGAGTAGGAGGAGATTTGTAAATAGCAAGTCACGATATATTTATGTTACGTTAGAAATGGTTCAAAATGGCCAAAAAGGAAATTGAGACATTTGGAATGGATTATTCTCGCGACCTCCAGTTGAAGTAACTAAGTTAATGAAACTTCATTCATTTCCTTTTTGATTTTCTATATTTTTTTGTTATTGGATATTATTAGATAATTATGACGCCAAGTCAAAATCAAATCTAGAAGCTTTCGTCTTTTATGACAAGCACTGAATTGAGGCACGTATGTTAAGATGACACTTGAACATATATACCTAAACAAAAAAAAAGAAGTGAAGTGGGTGTCGGTGAAAGGGAAAAAATGAAACCGGGAAATAACAAGCTCCCACACTCACCCATGCCCTTGTTCTGCAGCATCTCCAGCAGCTTTTTTATGCTCTCGTCCCGAGCCTGCAGCGTTTGTTTTTGAGTTTCGATGCGAAGTTCCAGTTCCTGCGACGAACGACAAACTCCGTTTTTATTTGCACCTTTTTATCCGTTGGCAGACATAAAAATTTGCCGGTTTAACACCGAAGCTATTTTGAATGCAAGTTTTTTTTTTCAATCCGATACTTTAGAATTAAATACTTTAGAATTTTTTTTATTTCCTTTAAATGGCATTCGTTTCGACAAACTTGGTCGTATCGAATAAACGTATGTGGTTTGAATATTTTCGATTTTTTGTATTGTTTGTAAGATTTTTTTTTGTATTTGTATTTAGGGCAAATAATTTTTGGTTCTACCGAAAAAAAGGAAAAGTGGACGCTCCAGGGTCAGTCGTTCAATGTTAATGCACAAAGTTAAATTACAAAATTGGCAAGTGCGAAAAGTAGACAAACCACGAATTTGTGATATCTGTGAATTTTTTCCTTTGACGTATCGAAGATGTCGAGATATTATTGAACAAGTGATAAATTTGGTTTGAACGTTATATTTCCCAAGAACTCTTGATATGTTCTCACTGATGTTTTGAATGTAAGAATTACGGTGGCACGTGCGCGCCTTCTTTGGGATTCATTTTCTTTCTTATCTATAACGTGGAAATTATTAGAAAGAAAAGTAGGTGTAAGGTGTTTCAATTCTAGGTTCAGTGACTCAAGTTAAGGTAGTTTTAGGGCTTTGTAAACAAGAGAGATGACAACTGATGAATTTAATTTAATTTTATTTTATTAATTATTACAACGTATGTCAGTTTAAATGGTTAAGAAAATTTCGGTAGGATTTTTCATCATAAGGCCAAAAACAAATGGATCATCAACGTAGCGTTTCCATAATTCTGGTTTTAGATGGAAGGTTTCGAGGATTTTCTTTTTGAAAAGCTGCCATAAAAATATTCTGGATGATTGGTGATGATTGGCAACCCGTAGCTATTTCCCACGTTTGTTCCAAAATGTGAACGTTTTTCAGTTAAGATGGAAAGATTTGCTTCAGGATGTTAGGATATTAATATATCTGAAATAATGTTGACAGTTCCAGGAATAGAGACTTTAGTAAAAAGTGATTCTACGTCGACACGAAGTACGAAACTATCTACTAGAACATGTTGGACAACCAATAGCGCTGACAACAGATCCAATAATCCAGAAGCTTTTTAACCAATATTACAGCAGCTTACAGAAGTTTCTTTAAAAAATTGAGGAATGTTGAGAGAAATCAAAGAAAGGAGATGGATTTTGATCGCGTTGAAGCCAAAAAGGCAGAAAAAAATGTCAAATTAGATTCCACCGCAAAATACGAATAAAGGACGCTCCGAAAACACCGCTATAAGAAGCGCAATGATACAAAGAAATATAAAATATTCTTTTAATCGAAAATTACTTAATAAAATTCATAAAGATCGCAAAACAAACGAGCCGCCGAGGCGACTCCGGTCGAATTCCGGCGACACGCGCCCCGCCGCGTTCAAATAATCCGGGCGGCGCCCGCGCGTCCACGCCTTCCTCAAAAACGACGCCCGTCCGTGGTTGACCGTCTCGAACTTGTTCTTGAAGGTGCCGACGAGGCTCAGCAAGCTGAACGCAACCACGTAAACGATGACGGTCGCGAGCAGTACCGTCAGCAGGCAAATCAGTTGCCAGAGCGCGTCGGCGCCGGTCGCCGAGACGCCAGGCAGAAGCGCCCCCGCGGCGCCGCCCGCCAGATAAATCGAAAAGACGCCGCAACAGTCCTCGACCGATTTGAAGACGAGCGAACGGGCGAGAAAAAACGCGAGCGCTCCGGCGGCGGCGACGCAGCACGAGATCGTCGGCGTGTAGATGTTGACGCCGGCGGAAACGGCGACGACGCCCGCGACGCCCCCTTGGAGACACTTGACGATTGGCCAGTGGCGGTGGAGATTTCGCGAGAGCGTCAGTTGGAAACACGCGGTCGACAGAATGCCGACCACGATAGCCATCAGGCTATTCACGGCGACGACGTCGTGGCGACTTGGAAACCCGACGTATTCGATCAGGATCAGAAAGTAGCCGCTCGCCGATCCGCTGGCGTACTCGCGTGCCAACGACAAATCGCTCAGGTCGCGCGCTCTGAGCACTCGCTTGCCGAAAACTAATGCGGCGACGAAGGCCGCGGCCGCCGAAGGCACGTGCACCACTAGGTTACCGCCGCGGTCTTGAACGGAGACCTTTTTTCCGAGCAACGTGCGTTTCGTCATCCAACCGCGCTCGTCCCAGATCCAATGCATCAAGACCGGCAGGAACAGCGCACTGGTCAGCGACGCGGTGACGAGCATCGACGCCGCGTGCATCCTCGCTATCACCGCGCTCGACGTTATCGCGGTGGCGATTAAACACGCCGCGAATCCGACCGGAGCGTCGTTCAGGTTGTCGGTCCCGACGAGACCGCCGCCGTACGAGACGAAACCGTAAAAGGTGCGGTCTCCGAATGAGAGCTGGTATCCCGCGAACCCGTACGAAAGTATCGCGACCGCGATTTCCACGACGTTGTGGAACACGATGACGTAAACGTTCTCGATCGGTATGCTTCCCATCTGAACCAAGAGGAATCCGATTCTCAGCAGCAACACGCACGTCACCGTGCCGAACGACTCTTCGTTACGCTTAACGTTATCGACGATGGTTGTCGCGTTTGACATTTAACGTCGTAATTTGATTGACGTCCGGTCGGTAGGCGTTGAAGCCGGTAATTTTCAGTAGTGATAGAAAGGCACAAAAATTTTTTGGAAAGAATCATTTTAAGTTTGATATCGTTTTAGTTACAACATGTCTCGGAAAAGTCGATTCCGATTGAAATCTGATTAAAATCACTACCAGAAAATGAGATTTTTAGCTGATCTTTTTCTAAGAGTTTCCCTAATAAACAGGCATTTCGGGAGATGTGTGGACTGAAGTGGTCCTCAGATTATGCATTTGTTTTTACCGATGCCTCTAAGGGGGATGATAGGGTGGGAATAGGAGTTTATATCCCCCATCTTAACATTAAATCAGGGTGGGGGTTGAACCGTTTTTTTTTTTTAATATTTGTATGGCTGAAATGGTGGCAATTAAGCACTTCATTTGATACATACATATAATTTAGTTAGAGCTGTAATAGTCTCTGACTCTAAGAGTGCCCTCCAAAGTCTGAATTCTACAAAGTTCAATGCTAAATCGAGTGGTATTCTCCTAGATGTTAAACATAGGCTGAAAGTCCTGGAGCAGAAAGGCTTCCGAATCTCTCTTTGTTGGGTTCCTAGCCACTCCGGTATTAGAAATAATGAAATTGTGGATAGGGTGGCCAACCAAGCTAGAGAGAATGTCCTATTGGAATTAAAACCTCATTTTAAGAAGTTTTTTAGAGTTGTCAAAAATAATCTATGGATTTCCTGGTCTTTAAGATGGAGAAGAATGGGTTCCTACAAAGGTAGGATTTATACCCTGGTTTCATGGATTAAATCTCACCAGAAAAGAAATTACTACTATGTGCAGATTAAGAAGTAATCACTGCTGTTATCCGATCCACCTACGCAGGATAAATATAAAGGCAAATAACTTATGTGAATGCGGAGAAGTAAGAGACCTTAATCGCATATTTTTTGATTGTGTGAAGTATCGGAACTACTCTCAATCCCTTTATAGAAACCTGATTAATTCTCATGTTCCGTCCCCTATTTCCTTGGTACCTGCTATATTTTCTGTGAATAATTTGGAACGCGTTGCTAAGGCTATATGTAACTTTATTAGTGTATGTGATATACGCTTGTAAATAGACTTGTGTGCATAAAATTTAGACTGCTTAGTGACACTTGAAAATAGACATTATTGTGCATTTAGAGTAACGTAACTGCGCTATTTAAATTTGTGTGGACTTTTAGGAGCATCCGTCGACGGTAGTCGGCAATGGGCGAATGTCCTTGGTTGACGTGCCCATTTTAAGCAAAAGCAAAAAAGAAAAAGAAGCTGATATCTGCACAGAAAGAGAAAGACAAAGGTCGATTTTGACTGAAATTTGAATAAAATCAGAAGCAATTATTTGACCTAAGAAAAAAGTTTTTTATACTAATATCTTCAAATTTCATGCCATTTTCGTTACAATTTGTATCGGAAAAAACGATTTCGATTAGTACTACTTGACACAAAACGGTTTTAAGTTGATATAGGTGTGTTTCATATAGATTTCGTTAAAACAAGGCTCTTAAAAGTCAATTATGACTGAAATCTAATTGAATTAAAAAAAAAGTACTATATTAAAAAATGTCGACTAGAATCTGATCTTATCGACGCTCTCTGTGCATCCTTACTGTCACCGCGCTCGGTGATCCGTTTTTACTCAAATATCTGCAAACTTCATGCGGTTATAATTACAATACGTCTCGAAATAGTATATTTCTTTTCGAATGTGATTCAAATCAAAAACAAAAAGGTACTATTTGACACAAAAAGATGAGTTAAAGTTGATACCTGTACATATGAGTAAAGTATTCTTATTTTTGAGTAAATACGAAAAAAACAATATTTGTCAATATTATATAATGATCCGCAAGTTTGCTGAAGTTTTCGTTACAATCGAAATTTTATGAAAAAAATGTCCTACTTAAATTTACCGATAGAATATAAAAGTTTAAAAAATATATATAAATAATAAACATATAAAATCACTAAATTTCAAATGTATTCAATTGTTTGAAAGTGTAATCGCTTGGCTGGTAATTTAATGACAACTGCTATAATAAAAAAAAGTCAAGTTCAATACAAAACTAACATGGGAACGTCAGATTAAAAAGATTACTCAAACAGCTTCGGATGGTCTAAATATGCGTTTTAATTATCAGAACTTGATGAGGTTGCCATCCTTGCAGACTTCTAATATTCTACACATTATAAATTACGTCCCATTTATTGAGTCCATTTAGAGAACCTGTATATTGCTCCTCTATGGGATTTGAAGTTGAGCACGGATAATTACAATTCCAGATTTAATGAGAAGATGATGAGCAGGTGCAAATGAAAATTGGAGTTTCTTGCCCTATGAGGAAGTGTGTATTGTGTAGAAGTAAGTGTGAATTGGCTTTACCAACACCAGTAAAACCATTATTTTTTCTTACTTTTTCAAAATATTAGAACAAGGATAGCAACCATATTGCAGACCTGTTGGTTAAGTCTGGAAAACTTAAAAATAATATTTAGAAAAATTGAATTAATTATATTATAATTATAGATGACACTAGTTTTTGATTTTTATCTCTATCGGTAGAATTCGAAGGCCCAATAAGCCGACCAAATTGCCTATAATACATACTATAATAATTTTTAAAAAACTAAAACTCAAAGCTTCAAGCAATTATTAGCATTTTTGTTCCATTTAAGCTACTCCTTGTGTTGGATAAACTCGAAAAACACAGAAATATTTCACACAGCGCGTGTGAACCATAATAACGGATAAATTTTATTGTTTGCGTTGGTTACCTTGATCGTGTCCCGCAAGATGGCGATTTCCCTCTGCAAATGCTCGTTTTCCTGGTACAGGGCCTCCATTTGCTGTTGAACCTCTATGCTTGGTCCCCTCATCCTCATTCGCAACTCCTCTTCCAACTGTCTTACCAACATCGCCTGTTTCTATAACAAAAAAATTACCGTACAAACTCAGGAAATGAGCCAACCAAAAATACAAATATTTATAACAATCCCCACAGATTACGTCATCGAGCTTTGTTGTTACATCATCGATCTTCGAATATAAAGCCGATCAAATATATAATTAAAAAAATATATTGTCGATGAAAAATTTTCCAAGTAGTCGTCACAAATATAAAATTGACCATTCAAATCAAAATAATGTTGGTATAAACAAATTATTGATTCTTTTTTTATGAGCGAATTAGTTTGTTTCCGAGTAAGAATAAAAATAAGAATAAAACTTCTGCGTTTCAATTCTCTTTAACAAAAATAAAAGTACAAATGAAATGACTATGACGAAATTATTTCTCCACAAAGATTTTTTGAAAACGGTTAGACATAAAAATAAGATAGCTAGAACACCCTATACATATGAAAAAACAAATATTAAAAAATCTCGAATCTCGACGATACTATGCAACTTTTTTTTCTATCTTTTAAAATTTGTTATTTTAAAGTAGGAATTTTTCTGTTAAATGTTTAAAGTTTTTGAACTCCCCGTATATAAAGAAAAGAGATTTGATATCACTCGAACTATTGTAACTTCACAATCGCAACAATTGAACATGTTAATATAAAAGACGATTTTTTAATAAATATGATTTCCACCACCAATTAATTAGTGCGTAACTTGGATACATTGATTACATCTAAAAAAATTTTTTAAAATTAAATAAAAAAAAGACCCAATAAGCACACTATACTTCTAACGCTATCATTTGAAAATATTTTGTTTTTTTTTTTTTTAAATAGTTATGGTCTGTTCATAGATATAAGAAAGTGACCAATTGCTTTTGAATGGGTTTATCCAAGGGTGGTCATTAACAAACAATGCAACAAGATTATTACCTAAAGTTTCGGAATTTAAATTCAGATAAAATTTTGGTCCGTAATAGAAAATAATTTTATACCTACCTGTGTTTAATATTCTTTGGTTTGGTATGCTACTTACTTTAAGCTTAATCATTCTTATTTCGTGCGTAATACAGCATGTGTTGAATCGTGTGAGAATTATGCAAAATATGTGCGAGTCTAGTGTATCTCAGGAGATGCTCCAGCCCAAATGTGGAAAACACTATCTTGTTGAGACTAAGGAAGTTATAAACAATGTTTATTTGACTCTCATTGAACGTGATGCCACCAAGCAAGCATCTTTAGAAGAAATGGCCACAAGAACGAAAATTCCAACATGAACTGTATGGAAAATTGTGAATAATCCCATTTCAGCGAGGAAAAAAAGAAGCGATGCTGACATTTTTCGATTGAAAGTGATCAAGGTATAATACGGCGCAAAATTTACGTTAATTTAAGTTATACGAGGAACAAAGCGTGACTACATTAGATATCTTAATTAGGAGGCTTGAAAAAGATGAAACCGGTGTTAAATATGGCAGAACTTCCTTATGGAAGTGTATTCAACACATGGGTTTCAGATTTAAAAAAATTGACAAAAGGCAAGTTTTAATGGAATCTTTTAGAATTCGGAAATGGCGACTGGAATATCTAGAAAAAATTAGGATTTACATAGAACAACAAAGGCCAATTATTTACTTGGATGAAACCTGGTTCGACACTAATGATATCCCGGAAAAGGGTTGGGTTGACTCAACTGATAACTGTAAAACAAACGCGCCATCAAAAACTTTCAACTATTTTGCATGCTGGCTCTAAAGATGGTTGGATTCCAAATGGACTTTCTCTGTCTGCGAAATATATTAAAGATTCTTCTCTGGATTACCATGAAGATACCACCGCTGATTTATTTGAAAGTTGGTTTAAAAACAAACTAGTTCCAAACATTCCTCCTAATAGCGTAATTGTAATAGACAATGCAAGTTATCACAGTAGAGAGTTGAGTAAAACCCCTTCCTCATGTGACACAAAAGCAACAATCCAAAAATACATGTATAATAACGACATTTATTTTCACGAAGATTATACCAAAAAGCAATTAATTGAGGTTCTACAAAGCTTGAACCTACAAAAGGAATACGTCGAAAATCTAGGGCATACAGTTTTAAGGCTTCCACCTTACCACTGTATATTTAATACCAACTGAAATCTGCCATTCGTAGTAACAATGTTTTTCCCCGTGTTAACTCCAATGTCCTCAAACTTATAGAAACCGAAGTTTTTAACATCCCTCCACGAAGTTGGGCAAATTCTTTTAAACATATAGAAAACGCAGAACAATCGTATTGCATATTGCAAATAATATGGAACAAATAATAATTAGAACAGGCGATGATAGCGATAGTGATACTGTGATAGTAGGTAATAAAAATAATTTGTAATTTTATTTTAGATAAATACATACATAAATAAATAAATATTGTTTAGTATTTTTCCTAAAAAAAACCCAAATAATTAAATTCTAAACAAAGTACAGACCTGTTCGACCATATTTCATTCTTACAGCTTGCCCGGGTCTTCCTTAATTCGTATTAGTTAGTCACTTTCTTATATCTATGAACAGACTTCATCACAATGCTTTCTAATTATGATTATTAAAAATAGAGGAGTTTTAGGTTCATTTCAATCAGATTTAAGTCAAAATCGACTTTAACGATAGTTATTGTAAGCAACCCGGCATCAAATTTGCAGATATCAGCTGAAACTTTCTGGATCAAATTGTTGCCCGTTTTTGTTGATTTCAATAATATTCCAGTCAAAATCACATTTTCTGCAATTTACAGGTTTAATGTACCGAACTGTACATTAAACCTGTAGATGTCAATTAAAAACCTCTTTTTTGGGTCAAACAGCAGCTTTTGTTGCCAGTTAGAAATTTTATCGATTAACTACACCATTTCCAGTTCTTTCAAATTAATATAATAACAAAATTTATATTCTACTTTTGTCCGATTAGGAGTTCTATCAAATCGAAACCGTAACGACATAAAAAAACAGCTGGTAACCTAGTTTCCGAAAACGTCTCATTTGGTCGAATAATCATTTAACAAACACGCGAGGTTTTTATATTTTTAGATCGATACAAGCGTCGAGGCGGCAACGCGGTTTGGGCTCTACTAGTGTGTGTGTGTTTTTTTTAATAACGTCGATTCGAGAATAAATGTTTGAAGGTATTATTAATAACAATAATAATCTTTATTTAACAATGATACAATGAAATTTGTTTCGAGACACACGTGTGTAAGGGTAACGCGAACTTTTATCTAAGACGAACTGATTAGAATTGATTCCGATTGATCCATGTTGAATTTACCAAACTCACTTGGCATTTTTAAGATAATAAGGTAGAAGGCATAAAATAAGTTTATACAAAATATTTTCTCTAGTTTTTTTTCTATTTGGCCTTGATTGTAATTTTGTCATATACCCAAATTCAGAATTATCATCAAAATTGCTAATTAAATAAACCCGAAGCGAAAAAAATAAGAAACCAAATTTTGAAAAATACATCATATCAAAATATAATGTCCCTTTTGAAATTATATGGAATTCAGAATGCCAATTCTCTTTCTAAAAATCGAATAAGATTTGGTTATTGTGTTCAACAACTGCTAATGACTTTCTGATTTTTTATCTTAGTTGATATTGTTCGTTCTGTTTCTTCAATGCGAAATTTCTCTTTGACTGATCAAAGTTGAGGAGAGATTTTTGGACAATGGGTAAATTTGGGTGTGACGTTATATTAAGAAAAGCGATGTTTTATATGTAAAAAAGGACAATAGTGGCGAGTGTGGGGTTGCTTTCGGATCACTGTTTTTGGAAGGCTGTGAAGTATATTTTGGGCTGGAACGCTTAATATCTTCAATGTGAAAATTATTAGAGACAAAGCAAATGTAAGGTATTTTAATTCTAGGTTAGGTCTCATTTTCTATTAGTAGAAACATCCCGGAATGCGAGATTATTATTAATTTCTAATTCTTTCTAATTCCAATTCTATAGAGTTTAAATGGCTAAGAAAATAAGAAAATCTTTATCTAAATTTGATTTTAGATGCAACATGTTGAGAGCTTTCTTCGCAAAATATATTTGCGTACTAGTGAGGATTTTCAGAACCCAGCCGTACCACAATCGAAAGTCTCCAAATAAAATTTACAAATTACACATTACAGAAGAAAGAGTTTTGATATGTTTTTTAACCTTTTACCAACTTCCTTTCTCACTCTAATCGTTTTTGTTAATTGCTTTTAGCGTTATTTTTTATATTAGCGTCATTTTTTTATTTGGTGCTCTATAATAAGTTTGTCTCAAACCGTATGTCGAGTAATCTTGCTTGTATAAATAAATAAATAAAAGTTCGACCGCATCATCTTTCGCTACATTTCGGGTTCGACACACATTTCGGTTCAAGAATGGCGCATACGGTCGACGAACTTGTGCCCCCGTATCGATCCAACGGGTGGAGAGGGTAAAGGGCCCGGTTACGTTGCCGTGTGATTTCGTTTTTAACGAGTTCTTTAATAAAGTTTTTATTTTTCCTTATATTAATTCATTCACTGAAAAAATTTATCCAAAAATATATCAAACATTTGCTCTGCATGGAATCCGTATTATCCGGATTGATGGCATAAAAAGGGAATTGATATTTTTGGAACTAAATTTTTATTTACATATTTAATAATTCTTCTTTTGCCCAAAGTTGAAATTCCCTCAAACTTGACACCAATAAGCATTCTTCCTGCTACTTCTTTTAACAGACATGACTATAGCGTTTGATGGTTCAGTGTGGATCTACTTTTGGGCAAATTAGGACATCCCAGTATTGCTAAAGTAACCAAAACCAACCAGTTTTGAATTAGCAGCAACACACTCAAGAAGATATTTTTTTTTAGGTTACGTTAGTTATTAGTTTGTTAATCTCTTTTAGGATATTTTTCAATGGATGTTTAAAAAAGTCCACACAGATCGTGGCTTTTTTCTTATTTCTTATTAGCACGCAAAAAATCCCTGAACATATAAGCTTTATGTAAAAGGGTTGTAAATATTTGAAACTACGTCAAATTTCTACCCATCACGGTCTACAGCTAAATTTAGAAAGAAGGGCACGATAACAACGCAAAAAACGTATAAAAAAGAACAAGATAGCCATTTTTAAATGTGTCCGTGAGTAACATATAATCCGATTGAAAAATGTCTGTTTTTCTGCGCTTCTTTCTCATATTTTACTACAATGATCGTAATCATTTGGTAATATTTTTGCCACAAAATATTGTAAAAATTGCATTTTCTCATTCGCAATGGAGCTTGGGCGCCCTCTGGCGGCCATTCTAGCGATTTCTCGATTAATGGGACCCCCTGTACAACGTACGCAATCTGCCAAAGAAGGCACGGACAAATAGACACTGTGCATTCGGAGATTTCAATTTACGATATTACATTCGACAGGACGCGAAATGAACATAAACAGATGTTTATTAATGTCTCAAGGAAGCTGCTTATATTTAAACGTCTGAGGCACAGACGAATCACATATCTACGCTCCGAAGTGTTTATTGCTCGTTTTAGGTGTCAATAACACCGAAACAATTTTAATTGTCAAATCGGAAAAGTATTGTGGCTTCGACAGCTCATGAAAGGTTAAACAAATTTCAAGCAAGATTTCACCGGATTCGGATTCCAAAGATTTCCGAAAGATTTAGCAGATTTTATCGTTTTTGAAAAATAATTAATTACAGGCTACTGTAATACTTTTTAAAAAACTTCTGGATTCCTGCTGATCCGGTTTTTGCTGGGTCGAATTTGTTGACGTTTCGCCAGTTTCAGTTTCAATTTCAGTCAAGCTCTGAAGAAGCCAACAGGATGATTGGCGAAACGTCAACAAGTTCGACTCAGCAAAAACCGACGCAGGAGGAATCCAGAAGATTTGTAACCAGTAATTTTCAAATTATCTAATTTATCTAATATAAAAAACACATTTAAACTTTTTTAGTTCCTTAATTTTTTCAGCTTTAAGAAAGTTTAGTTAGGAATTTCGGTAATTCTTAATTTTCTGTCGACAAAAACAAATTAAAATTAAATTCGAAAGGGAAGAAAATATTGTGACTTTTTATGCCTTACATTTTGTAAGCTTGATAATGCCAAACGATAACGTAAAAAGATATTTATTCCAAACTGGATTTTTATAGATTAATTTCTTTTTGAGGGATTTGATAGATAACAATGTGGAAAATTTTTATGTTCCTTCATAATCACAGAAATATGAAGTAAATTTTGTATATAAAAAATACATAAAAATTAAGTGAATATTGTCGGTTAAAAACAATATTTTTGATTTTTTTTTCAAAATTTAATTGTTTATTTTTTTTCTCGGCGTTAATTAAGGAATTTTTAACGCAGAAAATGGCAATTCTTAATTTTCTGCGCACAAAAATATTGACAACTAAAGACGGATAGAGAAAAAAAGTAGAAAATGTTTTATGAGTTTATATTATATCTTATATTTTGCAACATTCAAAAAGCCAAGCGATAACTTAAAAACAGTTATTTATTTGTTTATGTTTTTAGATTAATTTAATTGACAGATTTGGCAGATACCAAAGATTGCATACATTTTCAAATGATTTTGAGGATTTCATCGATTTTGAAAAATAAGTTTCATGTTATGCGGAAAATTTTTTTGTTCTTTCATAATCAAAAAAATTTAAATTTAAAATTTAATATAATGAAAATTCATATATTTTTTTATAGCGAGTATTCTCGGTAACAGTTAAATATAATATTTTGGATTTTTTTTATTCAAAATTTGGCTCCCTAATATTTTGGGACTTTAATTAAGTAACTTTGTGGGTAGAAAAAAGCATGTTTAAATTTAGTTGGGAATTTCAATAGTTCTTCTGTCAACAACAAAAGAAAATTTAAAAAAGGATCGAGAGAAATATTTTTATGGCCTTATCTTATATCTTTAAAGAATAGCACAAATTGACAACAATATTAGGTGTGAGAAAAAGAGAAAACAAAAATGTACACATAAATATTGAGATGTCAGGAAGGGTGTTCCTGACTCAACTTGTTTAAAAAAAAATCAACCAAAAATATAAACAATCAGCAACAAAATATAAATAAAAAAATGTACAAAATTCGGAAACTAAGAATATGTGGTTCCACAATGAAAAAAAGGTTTTGGAGTCTCTTTTTAGTCGTTGTTTTTGAGTTAATTTGTACATTTTTTGAAATATTATACCGAGTGTCCCAGCAAATGCAACGAGGAGAAAACTTATGAAATTATTGCTGAGATTCTGAAATGGCCACCATCGAATAGAAAAAAAGCGGGGAAAATATATTTTATGGCTTTTTCTTGTCTTGTTCTTGTAGCCTTAAAAGAGCCAGCGATTATTTATTCACATATAGGATTTTTTAATTTTTATATTATTTAAAGGTGACTCAATTAATAGAAAGTGCCCTAAGTTACGGATTTCACACATAAGAGTTGATACACTTGGCAAATTTAAGGTTCGCACGAAAAGGATACCTTTCGATCTTTAAAATGTTCAGAAAAAGACATTGCAAAACGCACAGCAACTTAAGCAATTACCTGGTTCTCACTGCTGAGCAGTTTGAGCTGGTCGTTGATCAGGCTGTACTTTGCCGACTCCTCCTTCCGCAAAGCCCGCTCCTTCTTCAATTCCGGACTCCAGAACGTTTTAATCGAGTGCATCGACGAGCCGAGCTTTTGGTTCGTCAGATCGAGCTCCTTTTTCAAATTGGCTAGGTCGCGTTGTAGGTCAGAGTTTTGGTGTTGCAGTTCCCCGATAAAAGGCTGATGAGACGTCGGCGATTGTCGAGCCGATCGCGTGCCGTACGGCTCGTCTTCGAAGTAGAGACCGCGTTCGAGAGATCGATCCCTTCGATCGCGGATCGGCAGGAATTCGCGATCATGATCTACGGTGGGACCACGATCGAGCGATTGATAACGCACCGACATCGGATTCGTCGGCCTGAAACGGAAAAAGACGCTGCGGTCGTGGAAGTTTCACTGTGGTCAGACAATTGGCAGCGTTGCTGGACTGCTGCATTTATTCGATTTAACAGAAGAAAGTATTAAAGAAAAAAAAAACAACAAACCTTTGCCATAGCAAAAATTTAGGGGATAAAAAACGATAATTATTTTAGTGATATGAAATACCACAACAAAGAAACCACAGAGTACAATAAATAATTTATTCAACTCTGCATAGTTGACGCCACTTGAACTGAAGTAATTTAAATAAAAATTCTAACAGTTTTCAATATTTATATTGGAATATCAATTAAATTAAAAAATATTAATATAACATGTTGTAAATCCTCAGACGTGTAATATTATTTATTTATATCTTTATTAGTATCAATATCATTTGGCGTATCCCTAGTATTAGAAAGGCATGAAAGGTTTGACTACAATCCATTGTTACCAATTTGTACTCTCTCTCTCTCTCTCTCTCTCTCTCTCTCTTTCATGCACGTATTTTTTAAATAATAGTAAAAATACGTAACTAACTAAAACCTTGAATCACGGTAACACGTTTTATGTTGGAGAGCAAAGATTCGCCGGTTGGTTGGTTGAGGGTTAATAGAGCTTGTTTTTATATCGATCTCTTTAGCCGCAGAAGAAGCGAAAATGTCAGTTTTAAGTCGCTAGCTTCGAAGGAAGTGCTTCGTTAAATGCTAACCGGAAGAGGTTGTCATTATTATCTAGGTCACGGCTCAGCCCCTTTTAAAATGATAAATTGAGAAGACACCGGCTTTAAGAAAGGATATTTTATATATGTAATCCACTAAAAATGGCGAATATGGTTCACTGGTTGGGAAAATTAGCGCAACGCAATCGCTCTTGTCGTACGCAGCTTGCGGCAATGAGCATTCAAGCGAATCTTTTTTTTTGGTTAGTATGTAGTTTGCATCCTCTTTCGATCAACCTCTTTAATTAATCAGTTAATTAATCAGTAACAATTAACATCTGTCTTTAGCGGACACTTCAAAACCAAAACTAAGCAATAAAAAAAACTGAGAAAGTACCGTAAAAATTGGGGAGTCAACTACATCGCCATGCCAAGTTCGTTTCTCAGTGCATTCTTCTTTTCCTTCTCAAGTGGACAACGCTTTTTTTTATATCCATCTTCTGATCACAAATTTCGAAGCTCGTGCTTCCAAAATAATTAATTGAAAACTTTAAAAACACAACTCTTCTTCTTTTCTACCATCACGCGGCAAATTAACATAATTCGTGATTTAACTAATCTCGCTTAAGCGTGATAGATGGCGCGACTCAGATTAAAATTAAAATTTAGAAAATCCTATGTCAGTTTTAAGGCCTCAACTCTTAAAAGTGAGCAACACCCTTCGCGGTTCAAGCGAATTTTTCCTAGTTAACAAGCCCATCACAACCAAAACTAACAAAAAAAATGGCCAGATGCTCTTCCGCAAATGTTAACTAATTATACATTGATATTTTATAGTGGTCAATTTGGATAAATTTTTGTTTTAAAAGAGCAACAAAAAGATTCAAACTATTTCACACGAGAGAGGATTTTAAAGCTTTTGGATTTGTGTAAGGAACATAAAAGGAGACTCGGTAGTTGGGAAATGAAATCAATGAAAAAACTATTAAAAATTGTTGCACGGGATTCATTTATCATAAATACAGGGTGACTCAGAGTAAATTTCACTATTTAAAAGCGCCTTGGACATCCAACTTAATATTTGTGGGGGGGTTAGTGTGGCGACTGCGTGCGGATTATCAGTCAACATGGAGCAGTGGTCAAATGAGCAACGAGCGTTTATGGTCGAAGCGTTTTTTAAATCGAACGATTCGTATGTTGCGGCACGGCGACGTTTTTGTAACCGTTACAATATTCGGCGTTTACGTGATGCTCCGTCAAACAATTTATTGAAATGGTGGGTTAAAAGATTCAGACAAAGTGGTACAGTGGCAAATCAGAAGCGTCCCGGTCAACAGAGGTCCATCAGAACGCCAGAGAATATTGAGATTGTGCGACGTGCTGCGACTGAACATCCGAGGCGCTCAATTCGAAAACATGGCCAGGCCCTGTATATTCATCGCTCAAGTGTGCAACGGATTTTAAGCAAAGACTTACGGTTCCATCCCTACAAAATTCAATTGGTGCAGTTTCTAAAGCCCACAGACTACGAATTACGAAAAAATTATTGTGAGGCAATGATGAATATGTTTTGGAACGAAGGAGGATTGGACAACATTTTATTCAGTGATGAGGCTCACTTCTATCTGGAGGGGTGTGTTAACAAACAAACGAAACTGTCGCTTTTGGAGCCCCGACAACCCCAAAGAAAAGCATGAAAAACAATTGCATTCCAAGAAGGTAACAGTTTGGTGTGCCATGTCAGCTACTGGAATAATTGGGCCCTACTTTTTTGAAGTTGCCCATGGTCGCTCTGTAACGGTAACAAGTCAAAGGTACACTGCAATGCTCCACCAATTTTTGACTCCAGCTCTTCAAAACTTTCCTGGCTATAACCCCAATTTGACCTGGTTTCAACAAGATGGGGCGACGGCACACACAGCAGCAGTAGTATCAATGGACGCTGTACGTGAATTGTTTCCAGGAACTGTTATTTCAAAATTTGGGGACATCTCTTTTCCTACACTGATCCACCAGCCACTACGGAGCAGTTAAGACGCAACATTCGAGAGGCTATTGCCGACATTCCTATTGAAATGTGTCAGCGGGTCTTTCAACATTTAAGAGCATCATTGGAGGAGTGTTATGTAAGGGATGGTCGACATTTGGACAACATTGTGTTTAAAATAAAAAAAAATAAAATCCGCATTTCTGTACTTTCAAAATTTATTATTAAAATTATGCCAACACTTTTTATTCCGTTTTTATAACATGTTAAAAAGGGAAATTTACTCTGAGTCACCCTGTACAAGTAAAGTCGGAAATAAGTTTAAGGTTCTTGGACGAGCGTGTAACTGCCGTGGATAGCGCTAGGAAAACGTACCGCATCACGGTTTCCAAAAAAACCTAAACTAAACTACGATATAAAAAACTCGCATATAGAACAATAATAATTATAAAAGCGGTAGAGGAAGAAAAACGAATATAAAAAGAAAAAGAAATGTAAATCCATTCATAATATTCTCAAGTTCTACCGTGTGCACCATCTGCCAATGTGGCAATCCAGCAAGTCTTATTAGTGAACAATATGTTGTAAAATCAATTTTAAAGTAATTTTGCAATATTTTTGTTAATTTTACGGTTTAACGCCAGAGGGCAGGCAACTAGGAATTTTCATGATATAAGGTTAGGACTTTGGTTGGCCTTTTGGTTGCTTTTTGATTTTTGGGATTCTCTGTGCGGGGTTTTTTGGAGGAAATCTGCAATCAAAGGTGGTTGAAATAGAGTTCCCCCGAAGTAATTTTGATGTTTGGCAGTTCTCGAGATACCCATACCGCAATCAAATATTATTCAATAACCCTCCAATACAAATGATCAGCGTCAAGCATCAGAGATATATATAAACGTCATACACGTGTAACATCCACAAAAGTTAATCCCCAAAGCCTCAAGAGAAAAACAATAGCCAACCCCGCATGTGTAAAACGCAACAATATTTTAACAGAAATGAAGAATGACTTGAAAGAATTTTATGAAAAAAAAAGACAAGAGACAGAAAAAGAAACTCGGGTATTGGTATTAAATGGGGGCGCTTTAGCGGGCGTCCAAGCACTTAGGCCACCAGATGGACCCGTGAAAGAATATGTTAATTATTTACAAACAAAAAATCGCTTGTTTTGGTTAGTTAGTTAGTGTATTTTCGTAATATAAATGTCTAAGGGTAGGATATATAATATGTAACTAATCAGAAAAAGTGATTGATTTATTAAGTAAAGCAATTTGGAATATGGGTAATATGTACCCATATCACAAATTACAGAGATGCTCTCCAAAGGAACCTAGTTTATAGAAAAATCTATGATCAGACAATTCTTAGGTTATGTAACAACATTTTTTTGTATTATGACTCAACGTGTTGTTTAACTACCGTTCACCATTCAAGTAATAAAATTTTTAAACAGGTAAAATCGCTTCAATATAATCTTCCGGTTCATCATTACAATATAAGTTCTCTGGCGCATTTATATCGTCAAGACAACAGTAAAACAGTACAGGCTCGAATAAAATGGCAAATAAATGTCATTTGGCGCGCCTTTAAGTGATACGGTTGTCTAAATCTGTGCTCGAGGATACCGGATTGTGTGTTCTATTAGAATGCGGAAATGGCTATTGCTTTTTGTTATATTTTTTTTCTGGTTGTTTACTTTTTACAAAACTTCTGGATTCCTCCTGCGTCAGTTTTTCTTGAGTCGAACTTGTTAAGGTTTCACCAATCAACCTGTTGGCTTCTTCAGAACTTGACTGAAAGTGATTCGCACTTTACTCTATACCTACTTATATATTGTTTGTGGGGAATTTTGGTTTTATCAAATAAAATTTTGCTAATGAGTTTATTTGTCTTAGTCTTAAGGCTGTTTCATGTTCTTTGAGCCTGGTTGATATTTTTCGTCCGGTCTCTACAATGTATTCTTTGCCGCACTGATGGATTTTTATCTTTGACGGATCGAAGATATTGATAAATTTTTGAACAAATGGTAAATCAGATTTTGACGTCATATTTCTTTGGAACTTTTGATATGTGGTCAGTGATGTTTTGAATGTAAGGAAGGAAAACAGTGGCAAGTGTGGGATTGCTTTCGGCCTATTGGAAGGTGATGGTGAAATGTATTTTGTAACTATTAGAGAGAAGGATAGAGGTTAATTCTGGGTTCAGTGACTCGGACTGAGGTAGTCTTACGGTCTGTAAACAAGAGAGTTGATAAGCGATGATTTTTAGGCCGGATGGTGATGTGACAATGCATACGCATTAAGGTATATTGCGTAGGTTTCCTGTAAACACAATCACCCAATGTTCTTCTATTGATAAGAATCTATTGATAAGAATATCTAAGAATGCTTGCTGGGAGCTTGATCATGAGGCCAAATAACAAAAGTATCATCGACGAAGCGTTTCCATAATTTTGGTTTTAGATAGAAGGTGTCCAGTGCTTTCTTCTCAAAGGCTTCCATGAATATATTCGCGATGATTGATGATAGTGGAGAACTCATAGCTGTTCCCAACGTTTGTTCAAAAATTTGGCCGTTATAAGAAAAATATGTTCCAGACAAACAATTTTCAATTAAGGTGCCAAAGTTTGGGTCCAAATTCCTGGATTTTGACAGTTTAAGGAATAGGGACCTTAGGAAAGAATTGTTCATTGAAGTCAAAGGAATTAAGTACGAAACCATCAGTTTTCCCTGTAAAGGGTTTTAATAAAGACGCTAGAAATTTTGCTAGAGAATATGTTGGAGAACCAACGATGCTGACAATAGGTCGAAGGGGTAATCCTGGTTTGTGAATCTTTGCGAGTCCGTAGAGATGGGGAATTTTAGAGTCGTGAGGGGTGACAGATTTTTTCGCGAAGTCTGATAGAGAAGAAGCCTTAATTACAGATTTAAGGTTTCGTTCCATAGATGAGGTAGGATCTTTTTTAAGTTGACGATATGATCCATCTGTTAGAATATCTTGAAGCTTTTCCTGATATTAATTTGTGTTCATGACCACCGTAGCATTTCCTATATCTGATTTTAAGATTACGTTCAGACTTTGCAATGTTACATTTCGGAGGTTTTGAATTTTTTTCTGGTCGTCGACAACAGTTTCTACTCTACCGATTCCGATGGTTCCGGAACTATTTTAGAACTACAATCAAACAGCTCGAGACCGATTCAACAAAAACCTGAACGTGTTAATTTTGATTAAGCACGAGGACTGTGACAGCGGCAGTATTTCATCCTAAAACTACCGCGCACGCATGCGCGATTCCGAAAAACTCACCGGAGACCTCGTCTCCGCAACTATGCTTTCCTGGTTAGTTTCCAACACCTCCTCCGCACGGGCAACGTTCGATTCGAGTGCGGTTTTTCGAATACACGCGACGAAGCTTAACCCCGGAGGCGCGAAAAGCGGGTTACCTGGTGGCGCTCCTCGATCTGTGGTGGCCCGGTCCCACGGTCATCGGTCTGCCGCGTTCCTCCAGCATGGGGCTGCCCAAGTCGTCGTCGCGATAGTACGAATGGTGGTACCCGTAACCGGTGTGATCGGGAGAGTTGTTACCGGATTGTGTCGGACGCAGGGGTTTGCGTCCCAAAGGGCTGCCCCCCGGATACGCCCTGCTGGGAGACCGGTCCACGGTGGGTAGTCTCACGCCCCTCGGGGACCTGGAGCCCCCCACGTATGCGTCCCGGGACATCTCATGTCATTTCACTCGCGGTGGCCACGCGAGCGCACGCCTGCTTCGCCTCTTTCGACTGGCAGGAACGCCGATTCCCTCAGCACGATCCGATCGGCGCCATTACACTCGTTGACGGTCCCGGACGCGACATTCTGGCTGCGATCGGACTGACGACGTCGACGTCGCTGATCAATGAACGGGTGTAGCGTAAGGGACGCGCGCAGTTACACGCGAAACGGGAACAGAGGCGGGATTCGGGGCCGGCCCGGTCGGGATACGACCGCGTCGCTGCACATTTGCCCGAATCGTCGATTGTCGACCGTCAAGTAATTTACTTACTCGCCGCCATTTGTTTATCAACGATTTTTGGTAATGTGTACGATTTCCAGAATTTTAATTTTGGAGTCGCGCCATCTATCGCACTTGAGCGAGGTTAGGTAGTTAATTCACTTGTAATGACGACGATTACATAGGATCGTTCGGCCAGCTTACATCAACAGCCCCCCGCAATTTTCTCATACATATACATTAACATATACATAATAGAATAACATCACAAATCCATATACGTCCGCATAAGAGGAACACTATTTTCCAAATTTATAGGCACTGCGCCTCTATCACTTCAGGTAAGAAATATACAAAACATTATTTTAAATCGAACGACTCTAATTTCAACCGATTCCTACAATTTAATGCGAATCCTTGTTCAAGGTTAAGTTAAATCACGGCAAAGAAGAATAGTCGTCAACACAGAATGCTCTTTCCGGAGGTTGTGTGAAAAACCAATTTCTCAAATTATGCACTCAGGCTATTTACTTAATAACGACATATTTAGCTCAAGCTGCTCATACGCTGAAAGACTATTTGCATACGGAATTGTTTTTGTGGAACAAATAATTCAAACATACCCCAACAGGACCACCATCGTGCCGAAAAGTCGATAATAAATAATATTTCAATTTACCATAATTATGTATATTGCAAGGTGATTAAAATATTTCTTCTTTCTTTCTTTCGATGCTGAATAGTTTAGTGGCGAAAATTGGCGAATTTCTTTTAATTGTTTTGGAAGCACAAACATCAAAATGAGTAATTTGGTTTCATAGAAGCATAACATTTGGATTATTTTATAACAGCGAGCGGCTAAAATATCAAACAACTTCATTTACAAAACGTCTATTTGATTTCGAAAAAAATGCTCTACCGAAAATATACACAGGTAGGTCAAAATGTAAATATTGATATCGAGTTCCTTTTTTTCCTTGTTTTTTAAGAGCAAAAGAATTTAAATTTTAAAATTGTTACAATATTACATTTCCGTCATGGAAGAAAGTGAATATGACGCATGTAAATAGAAACTAGAGCATTAAAATTTTAGTTTTAATTTGTACAAGTTTCTAGAAACAGGACGTTCAAAAAAATCGTCGACTGCAAGGCCATCCAAAAACTAATGAGATGCCAAGATTTTTAATGGAATTATTGCTCCATGACCTTAATTTGGAAACACCCTGTAAAATAATTACATTACCAAATTTTTTTAAAAGGTTGTTCGGTATTGACCATTCAGAAGAAGCAGAAAAAAACATTCTTTATTAAGAGCTATTGCACTTGTTGAGGATGCACGTAGTTATGAATATAATGCAAGTATCGAAAAATTGACAGATATGTGCGTAGGTTTTTTTGACTTCAGTCGTTTTCAACTTTTGCCCCGTTTTCAAATTTCCATTTTTCGTTTTACGTCATACTCACGATATTAGGGAAATATTAAAAAATAGTTGTCTTTGTAATTGTGTTGTTAGATATTGCGTTAGGTTATTAGTAAAGGTCCACCCACCCAAGCCGGCATTATCTTAGTCGCGCGCCACTGCCTGGAAACAATCCGCACGCGCCATGGGCGCCATACACTATTGCTCATTAAGTTTACGGCCTTTAACCTTTAAACGCACAGCGAACCCGTTCAAAAATCCCGCGCAATATCTATTTTCGGAACTCCCTCGGGGTATTTAAATATTTTTAAGGCTCCGAATCACGAATTTGGCCGCCGTCTCGTCATTGACGTCCTTGACTTAGATTTCGTTTATGGGAAATCGGAACGCTGCGACTAACGGTCGCGCTCGAAAACTGGCCGACTTACAGATTGCTAAAATTAGTTGGGGCGTTGGCCGTCAGATGGCGGCAAGTCAACGGATTATTTTTGAAATTTTTTTTTTTTGCGTTTACGCTCTTATCTAACTTGATGTTAATTATTTGAAAGAACGAAACTTGGAATATCCAAACACCACCGAAGCTAATCGTGGCTCGGAAAACATCTGTTGCACCGACTGAATTAACTAGTCAACGTTAGATGATGCTACCAGTCTCGTAAAAGTGTGAAAAGCCTCTTTCGTACCTGGAGAGGCTTGCGGCTCTTGTGCTTAGGACTTTGATCAATCTTTCTGCGTTTTAAGGGCTGCTTGTACCTTTGCTTTTCATTTTAAGTGAGTTTGTTTTTATAAACTTCGGGTTAACCTCCATGAAAAACATAAAGTCGAAACCACAAAAAGGACCCTTAAAAGTGTAAATAAAACTACAAATCAAATGATTGTAAAAAATGGCAATGGGCAGTTTGTATTTCAACGTAATCTAAATTAGTATGAAATGTAAGAGAATTGTACAAAAATGAATAATAATAACTTTTTAGTAATGAATAATTTTGCAAAAAGTTTAGCCGTTTCAAGTTAAAATTTAAAAAATAACCCTTGAAAACTAAATTCTACCAAAATAATTAAGCACGTTTTGCCCGAAAAAGAATGCAGTTTAAAATACCTCCGTTTTAAAAGCAATATAATAATAATAATAATATAACAGCAAATTGCTTTTATTGTTGTATATTGTTATATACAAATATACAGTGGAGAAGAGGCAAAGTCTAGCAAAAGCTACTCGACTTAACCTCTTAAATGTTTAAATTGAAAACTAAATAGGAAGTTATAAATACATTGATAAATTAAATATAGTATAATAAATAAATGTAATAGTAATCTGGAACAATAGAAAGTTATTAAAAGTAAAAATAAAAAGAATACTTTAAAAATCAAATTATTTGAGCAGTTAGCAGTTTCAACATGAAATGTTTAAAAAAAAATTAATTTCATCATTTTTTTGTATTATGACTCAACGTGTTGTTTAACTACCGTTCACCATTCAAGTATTATAATTTTTAAACGGGTAAAATCGCTTCAATATAATCTTTCGGTACATCATTACAATATAAGTTCTCTGGCGCATTTATATCGTCAAGACAACAGTAAAACAGTACAGGCTCGAATAAAATGGCAAATAAATGTCATTTGGCGCGCCTTTAAGTGATACGGTTGTAATCTGGAACAATAGAAAGTTATTAAAAGTAAAAATAAAAAGAATACTTTAAAAATCAAATTATTTGAGCAGTTAGCAGTTTCAACATGAAATGTTTAAAAAAAATTAATTGAATGTGATTTCACTGAATCTAACCTGCCTGCCAGACTTATGTTGTTTTGATAAGGAAAGAGAATTTATTTAATATCGAGAATTTAAAAAAATCATTTTATTTCGTTGTTTATTGCCCTGAAATAAACTTGCAGCTTGTATTATGATACAGGCAGTATCAAACAACAATTTCATCGTTTTGTATCATTTCCTGATTAAATCCCCGTCAACTTGCGTCACAGACCACTAATCAGTGTAACGATTGCCGGTGAAAATGAAAAGTCGTAGGTGTAGTTTGTTCTTCTTTCCTTCTATCGTCCATATGCGCAAATGAATTTGCGTTTTGGCCGAGTGATCTTAGCATCTTGGCCAATAGGACTAAATTAGAATAAGAGAGATTTCGCGTCCTTATCCTATCCAAAAAAACTTTAGAAAAATGGATGTAGAAAATCTAAAGCTGTACCTTAAAAACCGAGACTATAAACAAGTCGGCGAATGTTTGCGAGACGTTTTCGCAATTAAGAGCGACGCAAATGGTCAACGAATCTCGTAAGTTGTTTCGTTAACTGTATTGAATGTTTTTGAGAGTCGTTTTCAAGGGCGGAATTCTCCAAACAGCTCGTGGACTTGCTTGTCGAAGCGCTTACGGTAGCTTCCAAGGAAAGTGCCGATTTACTAGACGAAAGCTCCAAGGCTCTGCGGAATTATGCGCTTAATTCGGACACCCGTGGATATTTAGGCAACGAGGGGTTTCTCAAACTGGTAGTATCGATCGTCGAGAGCGACAGCTCGAAGCCAAACTCGCCGTTTCGAAAATATTTGTTCCAACTGCTATTAAATATTTTGACGTTAAACGATGAAGTCGTGCGCAAAATGTACGTCACAGTTTACGAAAGCATTTGCAACTATTTTTTGAAAGATTCGAGTTGCTTGTACGAGACCTCGGCCTTGATTTATAACTTGACTAGGTATGTTGAGTTAACGGACTTGAAAATTATTTCTAGGGTAATAAGTCTGTATGGTAATAGAGAGGAGACAAATGAATTTCTATTGTTTTTGATGGAAAAAATTATCTGTGAAGATTATTTTTGGAAGAACTACAGTGCCATCGAAATGAATGACAGGTTAACTGTTCTTAAGGTACTTAGAGAGCTGTTAGTTAAAGGGGACGTGGTAATTAGTGACGCGTGTGTTCAGTGTCTCGTGAAATTGTTTTTAAATTCGACAAATGTCATATTTCAAGTTACCAACAGTGATAAAATGACTTATGAAACGTCAACTGCGGTCGAAGTGTTATCGGCATTATCCAGCGAAAAAACGTATTCTAAATTAATACGAGGGAACAAAGATATTTTGATCACTGCTGGTGTCCTCCTAATCAATTTACACAAACTTGGGAAAATATCCAACAATTGCCTCACCCCTATCCAAAAGTTGAAAGAAGTTCAAAGACCCAACCACGATATAAGAGAGAATCCGTTTTTTTGTTTCAAAGCCGACCTGATTCGGTTAATCGGAAATGTCTGTTGGAGAGATCGGAAGATGCAAGATTTAGTTAGTTTCGATAATTTTATTTTCCCGTTCACCGCCTTTTAATTTTCAGGCGCGCGAAGCCGAAGTGATACCTGTCCTTTTAGATTGTTGCAACATTGACGCCAATAATCCGTGTATCCTTTTTATTTCGTATATTTGGTAGTTTTGCCGTGATCAGTTTTCCTTAATGGGGGTCACAGTCATAATTCAATGGGTGATATTGGCCGTAAGGAATTTGTGTGACAATAATCCCGAAAATCAGAAGTTTATAGCGTCCCTACGCACAGAGGGGACCGTGAGCTCCGCACTCCTGGAGGAATTCGGTTTAACCCTACATTCCCAAGGCGACGAGACTATAAGGATCGTCCCATTAAACCGGTGACATCTTCAGTATAAGTAAAAATCTGAAATTTTTGTAAAATAAATGTTATCTTTCACCAAAAAAATACAAACATCTGACAAATGAATGATTGCAGTACGCCATAGCTTACTAGAACATCTCAGACCACAGAAAACGGACCTGATATACTGTGTACACTCAATAATGTGAGGCCAATGTAATCTTAAATTAACAGAAAATCTGTGTTTTGGATCAATTATCGCTTTCTTTATTTGTTGATTTTTGAGTCAATTTTGATCGCTCTTCGTTGTCAACTAATGGAATTTGCATGCTCCTCAATATTCTAATTCATCTTCGAACATTTTAAATGAGTCTGATGAAAAGAATGACAATTAAAATTGAAACTTCAAAAACACATTAACCTTCTGGTAGGTTCATTAAAGCGGGAGATTCACTCAAGAAAAAGTAAATTACAAGTTTTGCATCAAGTAACTTAAAGTTCGACCCCGCGTTTTATACATTTTTTACACAAAGCACACATATTTTCACTCATCAATAGTACGAGAGAATGAGCAAAATGTCGGTAAAAATTATTGAAAACTATGATGGACAGAAAGCACGTTCTTCAGTAAGTTCTAATTGTGAACCAGCATTAACAATTAGCGTGCCAATCGTCAGCAGATCCGACAATTAAAAATGAGCATATTGTTTCAACAATTCGAAAAAAAAATCTTTTTCTACTCCCGTCTGTAAAATATCTAATTACCTACCGATCTAGCGTCCGGGAAGCCACTTCGGACATTTCCGGAATTTTACCGCACGGATTTGGGAGCAATCGAATGTTTTCGGAGATATTTCCCACGCTTTGAATTTTGACGTTTGTCAATTCTGACGGTCATGTCAGTGAATGTATTCGTGTTGTTTTGCTAAAATGTACCCAAAAACTAACGGTACTTAGAAAATGTATAGTATACAACACGTTCGGTAAACTTTTTAACTCACTCGTTTATTAAAAACTTGCTCCGCTCGTGTCAAATAAACACGTGAGTCAAATGCCGTTTACCACACTTTTGGCATAATATACTATTAAACGTGTTAATTTTAATACTGTGTCAATACAGGCCGAAGTAGATGTAAGTTTTGATGTATCAATTCGTGAATTTTATTTTTAATTTAACTATTTTGCTACATTAACCGATACAGCTAAATCACAGATGGCGCAATTAATGAAATCAAAACATCTAATATCACGGCGTACTTTTAAAGGTGCGCTCCTGTTACCACCGAGAAAGTCGATGCATTACGTAAGCTGCGTTGCGTGTGTGCTCAGCCTAACGATTAGTTAGGCTTCCGGTAGTTATCAGTACAACCTAAACGTTATCAACATTTTACTACACTTCGAGACATATTTATTTGTAAGATAGCGGACCATTGTCGTTCGGTGGGTTTGTGTTTATCCGCGCGCATCGATTAACCAGTGGACATGTCTAACGTGACCAAGAAAACCACCGTGAAGAAGGTGGTCACCACCCAAATCACCACCAGCAAAAGTACGTCGCAGCAAAGCAAAGCAAAAGCGGCCAAGACGATCAGTAATGTTCCGGCTGCGACCAAACCCAAAGTCGTGCAGGAACCCAAGCAAAATGTGACGGGTAAAGTGATTTCTGCAAAACAGACCACCACCACCAAGTCCCAGAGAGCTGTTGGGACGACGAGGGACGTCAAACCCAACACGGCGAGCAAAGGTGGAGGCATCTTGACTATTAAAACCGGCGGTTCTACAGTCACGGTGACCTTGCCAAAGTAATTTTGTAGTACTATATAAATAAATGTCAAGGATGCACAATTTGGAATAAATTTTAAACTAAAATTGGACGGTTATCTACGGGATGATTCGGATTTTAAGGCGCAAAACATACAATATCTCGGTCATTAGCGGAGCCACAGAGCCCAAGAGAGGCTTGTTTGAGGCGTTCTATAGATTTTTAGAACCCACAGGGCGATACGTTTTTTTGTATTTTAGATGGTGAGGGTGGAAAACATTTGCTTAAAAAAATATCAAGAACTTCCGAATTTCGAGCTGTTGAAAACTATTTCGTTTCAGCCTTCAACACTGTTAGAAGTTTATTTTTGGTTAGATTTTCTTCTTAAAAAAAAAGCAACGATATAACTTTTTTGCGACAAAATATAGAAAAATAAAATCCTAATACTATAATAAACACCGCATTTCCATATCTTTTTCCTAAGAAATAAAAATTTTACCCAATGTCGTATTTCTGGGAATATTTTGTCAAAAAATATGTAAATATTGACTGAATATTTCGCATCCATCCATACAAAATTGTTTTCTGTAATCCAAGTGCGCTTTGTACAACAGCGAGAATTATTATGGCGGCTCCAGCGTTCGCGAGCGATTCGGTCTGCGCATATAAAAAGAAGAAGAGCGAATCAGCTGTTCGGCCGGCATTGTATTTTTTTAAACTTTCGTTTTGTTAGATCGGACTTGGTGCCGTCCCGTCGGAACTGTTTCAGTTAAAATCTATGAGACGGAGTGTCGGGCATTAAATCTGAAAGATATTAATGTTTTTTGTGCGTTATTGTTTTCATTATTGTAATGTATGAGTGTTAATTATGTGTTAAATATAGGTTGTGTATCTTAACGGCAAATTTATATATATATATATATATATATATATATATATATATATATATATATATATATATATATATATATATATATATATATATATATATATATATATATATATATATATATATATATATATATATATATATATATATATATATATATATATATATATATATATATATATATATATATATATATATATATATATATATATATATTTGATAATACTCCCAAAGATGTCGACATTATTGTGGTTTTTTATTTCTTTTACTGATATAAGTTATGAAAGAGATATCGCCCTGCGGTTTTCATAAGCTTGTTAGACACCTAAACCGTCAAAAGTTGGACACTTTGATTTAAACAGCGGCGAGGGGATAGCAACAATTTTCTTTCCTCGTCTGTCCCATACGCACCTTGAACAGGGTGAATGCAAAAAGACGCCGGCTTATTGTTTGGTGCGGTTGTATATCATTACGAAGTTAAAAGATAAGGACGTTCGGGTTGGGTAAACTTCGCGGGCCACAGTAGCTTAAAACATAATGCGTATCGTAATAAATCTTGCGTTTGATAAGACAATACCTCCGGCCTCTTCTTATCAGTGCTCCTCCGGTATTCTTCATCGAGCGAATCTCGGGGAAAGCCTCTCAAGAACGCTCGCTTTTTATATATTTCTTTATCGAATTCCACCGCGGAAATATGCTGCCGAGTGTCGTCAAGAGTAATGGCGAATCGACTAATATCTAGTGTTATTGTAGCCGGGTGAGTTTCTACCATAGATAAAAATTATAAATAGTCGGTCGCGTGTAACGTAAACAAACAACGTACTGTGCTGCCAACGCGGTCGGAGTGCAAACTAAATTTGTCCGGTAAAATAAGCTAACTAACTAAACTAAAGTCGCGGAAATACTTATTTTGTGAACAGGGTGTTTTCTAATTGAATGTCAATAATTAAGGAGGCGATTTTTGGGACCATTTTAAATAGAAAACTTCGTACGAACATGTGCCCTAAACGCCTTAAGTTTTGAGATACAAAATTTTTCTATTTAAAATGGACCCATCAATCAAATTCGATCAAAATGTTTTAATAGCATTGTATAATTTTAGAGTGTTATCCATCAATATTTAAATATAATATTTATATTATAATAAATTATCATAAGTTTGTGATGTCCAATTTACCTATAACCACCTTCAAGGAACACACCCGGATACGATACGATAGCGATTTGGGGAATTCGAATAAAAATATCGACTCGACAATATAAATTAATATAAATAAATACATTGTAATTTTAAAATTATTTCGGTGAATTGACAGTTTGGTAGGTTAATTTCACAATGCCATTTGTCATTATACCATTTTCGATGAAGTTTTTCACAGACACAGAAAAATCTGATTTTATAATTGTCAAAAAAAGTGTGCCGCGGGGCTCTATTCTTGTACGCCGCAGATACGAAATATTCAAAGTCTGAACAATATGCGGATCATGGTGTTTTGCATTTGCCTATTAACAAACAGAACATTATAGAAACACAAAAGATTATAAACTCCTATCTGCAAAAGTACATATTTGCACAAAACAGCGATTCAAAACTAAACCCTCAAAAAGTCACAGTTAAGTGTAATAATAAGAAAATGAAAATGTTAGTTCAATCTAAAAGTTCAAATTAATGAAACTATCGAAATCGTACAAGAAGCAAAAAAACGTAGGCGTAATATTTGAAAGTACTCTATATTTCGATCAACACATCAAAAAAGAAGTGGTAAAGTGTTTTGTTTTATCTCTATTTAATTATGGTAGGCTCTTTGAGAATCTGATTTTGATAGGATATTTGACTACTGTGACTGTGACTACGCCTTATGACTCGTGAAATTTTGGTCGAAATGCTATAGCCAACGCTATAGACGCAGAATAAATTTCGAACATTCATAAAGACCTTTGATATTCCTTTCAATCGGTTTTGTTGACTTTTGTCGTGGTCAAAATTTAGGATAAAAAAATTACGGTTACGGAAATTTTGGTTAGTTTTTATTTCTGGAAACAAAAAAAATTGAAAGTACACCGTACATAAGGTTTTGCGATTTTTTCTGCTTCAAATATTTCTTCTCAAGATAGAAGACGCATTTTTATCTTTTGCTGGCTCCTCTTCTTTTGTTTTGGGAAAAAATACCTTCGTTATATTGGCAAAATAACTGATTTGATTTAATGTTAAATAAAACTTTTTAAATAGAAAGTCAGTGATATTTTAATCCTTTCACGTTTTAACTCTGCAGTTTTATACGTTTCCGTCTTTTTTGTTTGATTTTAACCCGTTTTTCATCGTTGTTTTATTAATAGCTTTTTATGTATGTTTGTTCATGTTATTTTATACACTTCTATTGTCAGAGTGATTTTGCATTCCATGGTTTTTTGATTTTTGAATTGATTTCTTTGAGATTATAAATCGGTTTATTTATGCTATTTCGATTGTTTATGTTGTTTTATACTTTTGAGATTTTACTTTTATATTACGATTTTAGACCGAATATTTTTTTGTAATGTGTCGTTTTTTGCCCTAGGTTTTACGATGCAGCTATTTGCTGATATCCGTATATTAATTAAAAAAAAAACTAATATTGAAAGCAAGAATTTAACACTAAAATTACGTCATATCTAGAAAGAGGTATTTTTCAAAAACGCGTAAAAATTACACCTACGATTGCGATTCTTAGCGGAACCCTGTTGTATTTATTTTCGAATTAATCAAACGTCGGCTAGTTATTTAGTGCCCGACCGACAAATTCCTTTTAACGTTCGTTACGTTGCATTGTTTATTTTTCCGATATGTTATTAATAAATTATATCGCGATTGATAATTGATCGCGTGTCGGATTTCAGCTATTTATTATTTACAGCCGTAAAGAGCGGGAAAGTTAGACGTTTTGAAAGGGAATTTTTGCTGAAACCAACCCGGCAAATATTTACGACCGCCCCGGAGGTAAGCATTCGGTAAATTCAAAAAATTTCTGCTTCAAAAATAATGTTGTACAGGGTAGGTTGGTTACTAGAAAATGGTTTTAATGGTAGTACTGTTAATAATAAATTATTTTTATATAACATTACACACCTAAACCTAATAGCGTTTACAATATTTTAATTTTTTTAAATAAATGCTAGTCCTCAAACTTTCGAAAAGATTTTTGAAGATCACTCATATTTAATATGAGCGTTATTGGAAGATGAAAAGATATATGCAACGAAATTTGAACTATATGCTACAGGGTCTTCAAAACAAAACGAATATATTTAGGTCATTTTAAATTGAAAAATCCAAGTTTTGTAAATTTACTATTTTTTCTGAAAGTTCTTACAAAATCCTGCAACTTTTATTAAGAAAGTCATATAGCTATTTTTGATACATTGCGATTTATTTTAACTTTTCCAATATTTACTGTTCTTTCTCTCTTAGACTATTTCTATAATATTACTTGGCCATAAAAAAACTATTAGCCAACAAGGCTCTGCTAGTATTAAAAATAAACAGGAGCAAGAGCTTTGTTGGACCCGTATATAATGGATCAGACAGTTACTCCCGCCTGTAAAATATCTAATTACCCACCGATCTAGCGGAAAGCGTCACGTTACCATGTCAGTTTCGTTTCCCGCGAATCCGAGCCACTTCGGACATTTGCGGGATTTTTCCGCACGGATTTGGGAGCATTCGGATGTTTTCGGAGATATTTCCCACGCTCTGAATTTTGATGTTTGTCAATTCTGACGGTCATGTCAGTGAATGTATTCGTGTTGTTTTGCGAAAATGTACCCAAAAACTAACGGTCGTAGAAAAAGTATAGTATGCAACACGTTCGGTAACCTTTTTAACTCACTGGTTTATTAAACACTCGCTC